ATATATACACACACAAAGGCAGATTAAAAATGGCGTTACACCTGGTGCCCTGACTAGTTCTTTGAAGACGTATTTTGATGTTTGTGTGTATGAATTTATCTGTGTGAGTGCAAGTGCCAGCAAAGGCCAGAAGGGGGTGGCTTACGCAGGAACTGGAGGTATGGACAGTTGTGAGCTGCCATGTGGCTGCTAGGAATTGAACCTGGGTCCTCTGGAGGAGTAGCTGAAAGCTTCTGCAGCTCATGTATGTAGTACAGGGGCTTGCCTGGAATGCATTTAGAACTACATAGGGCGATACTGTCATGCTGCTGCTGCCACTGTGTGGCAACCAATGGTATTGCATCTGCCAATTCAGACACATAAACCTGATACCTTTGGTATTCAGTCACTGGGCATAGAAAGGAATTTCAGCCTCAGTTTTTACTTTCTAGAATGCAAATTTACTTGATTTGATAGGTTACTCTTTGCTGTAGTTCAGTGACTCTCAAAAGGTGTTCTCAGAACTCTGTATCGTAGGGTCAACGACATCACCTTCTTCCAATCATTTTCTTTATGGATTTCAATTAAGACAACATACCGTAGCAATTCAAGTGCAGAAGCAGATAGAAGAATGTACTTCTTTCTTGTTAAACCAGACATAAGAGAGCTTTCAAGACTATAAAACAATACTGCTCCTCATGTTGTCTTTATTTTGGAGATAGTTACTTCCATGGTGTTTTATGGTAATAATGATATTTGTAGGGGGCTGAAGAGATGGCTCAGCAGTTAAGGACATTGGCTGCTCTTTCAGAGGTTCTGAGTTCTAGTCGCATCAACCATATGGTGGCTCACAACCATCTACAATGAATTTTGATGCCCTCTTCTGGCATGTAGGGATACATGCCAAAATACTTACAATACATAAATAAAAATTTTAAAAATTGTAATTTTATTTAAATGAACTAGTAAGATTATAGTTGATCATCATGTACATAATTTATCTAAGTAAAACAGGCCTGGCAGGGTGGTGATGGTGCACACCTTTAATCCCAGCACTCGGGAGGCAGAGGCAGGTGGATCTCTGTGAGTTCAAGGCCAACCTGGTCCACAAAGTGAGTTCCAGGACAGGCTCCAAAGCTAAACCAAACCATAAACACAACAACAACCCCAATAAAACAAACAAACAAAATCAGGCCTGTACTTGAGCCCTGAGCCCCAGATGTCCAAACCCCTCCTTCATGCAGAGCTTAGCTTTGGTATCTTTATATTATTAATGCAGTTTCTGATCTCAGAACAGGAAGTGGCTGGAAAGATGGCTCAGCAGATAAAGGTGTGCACTGCCATGCCTGGGGACCTGTGTGCTGTGCCTGGGGACCCGTGTGCCATGCTGGATCCACGTGGTAGAAGGAGAGAGCTGATTCCTCAGAGTTGTCCTTTGCCCTTCAGATGTGTTCTGTGGCCCAGGCATGCCCACATTCACATGCAAATAAGTGAATCAGTCATTTTTATGAGGGTCTTATATGTTTTTAATAGTTCTGTGGTGTCCTGTCTTGACTTTGAGTTCTGTAAGAACAGAAAGCTTATCCTGTTTGTCATTGTACACTAGGAGTATGGGCTGACTCTGACAGTAGAAAGATGCTCAGCAAACATTTCTGAATTGACATGCTTATTAGTTCTTTAAATATTTATTTATTTTATTTCATATATATGAGCATTTTGCTTACATGTATGTCTGTGCACCATGTACATGCCTGGTGTTTGCAGAAATCAGAAGGGGGTGTTGGATTCTCTGGAATGGAGTTAACAGATGGTCAAGGCAGCCATGTGGGTGCTGGGACCTGAACTCGGTCATCTCAGGAGCAGACAATGCCTTTAACTGCTGAGCCATCTCTCCATGTTTATCTATTTTATAACTTTTAAACATAATTATTTAGTCAGAGGACAGCTTTCTGGGTCAACGCTCTTTCTACTTATGTGGGTACCAGGCTAGAGCTTAAGTGCACTTACCCACTGAGTCCTCATGAGCCTCCACTTTAGCTAATTTCCTCATTTCTGGGTTTCCATATTCACCAGCTTTAAAGATCATAAAATAGAATGGGAACCACTTAGCATGCAGCACACGAGTCACGTGGCTTGTTCCCGTCACATGGCACACAGCGCACATTGTTTCCATCCTTCTCCTTAAATTAGCGTAGATGCTCTCAGTCTTTCCTAACATGATTGTTTTGTTTTAAAATCCTTACATTTGTTCTGGGTGTGGTGGTGCAGCATTCAGGAGGCTGAGGCAGGTAGCTCTGCATGAGTTCAAGACCAGGGCTGAGTTCACAGCCAGGGCGGTGTAGAGAGACCCTGTCTTTCTGTCTTCTTTTTTCTTAAGGATCTTTTCATTGTTTCCTTTATGACGTCATCAAATGAGACTTCCCAACTGTTTTGAGTGGTTAATTAGTCCTTTCCCTGGCAGGGACATGATTGGATAGGAGGGTGTGCTGCACATAGTGTGTGATCGTGTGGTGTGGTAACTGGCTAAGGTGGAAAGTGCGTGTGACGTAGAGGCATCTGCAGGATATGCTGTGCTGAAATATGTATTATACAAGTATGTGAAGCAGACTGTATGTATAAGACAAGCTGATCCCAGGTGGAACCCGAGACAAGGAGCACAGAGAAAGGGCTGCAAGAGAACCTGGACACAGAATGACGCTAGAGACAGATCAGAAGAACCTTCCGCTGGCATCCATTGCTGCCATTACTGTGGAACTTCTGAAGGCTATTACCAAGAACGTATTCTTAAAGTTGTCCTACTGGTAATATGTATTAGTTAAACTTCGTACAGAAACATGTCAGAACAGGAGCCCTATAGCAGTGGAAGAAACTGTGCTTTCCTTGGGTCATAGCACCTATTGAAAGGGAGTTGATAATCTGAAAATAGTTGCCGAGGTTCTGAAGGAAAGCAAACTGTTAAAATGAATACTATCAATATATAGGACGTAGTGGAACACTGTATTTCTGGTAAGCGTGGTTTTGTTGGATTAAGAAAAAGCTCCTCTGCAAAAGAAAACAAATTCCCCCCGTGAGCACTGGCAATAATGTACAGACGCAGAGAAGATGGTGAAATGGGCCAGACTGTCACAATTACCTCTCTCCTGAGATGTGACTATTGTAACAAAGTTGTATGTGATTAATGCGTGATCCTGGGGATTTGAGAATTGGGCCCCAAAAGAGTGCTTTAAAAGTACTGTACTGATCCTTTACTATGACAGTGGAAGCTGATGGCTATGGAGATGGCTCAGCCAGCAAGCATTTGCTGCACAAAAGTGAAGGCCTGACTTTGGATCTCTAACACCCACGTAGAAAGTTGAGTGCAGTGCACACAAGCCCCCACAATCCCAACAGGGAAGCTGGTGGGTCCCTGGAGTGCACTGGCTGGCCAGCATTGCGGACTGAGTGACCCAAAGTTTGATAAGACTCTACCTCCACACACAGATATCATGCATGTGCATACACAGGTGTGCACACACACTCACATTTATGTGTCCCCAACTCCTCAAGGGACTAGAAACTGAATCAAGATGATTCTTCAGACTTGTCAGTTTCTGCATGAATGTTGTAAAGACTTCCAGGATGGGATCTACTTTGATCTTAGTTGGAAGGAGGTTCCGGAAAGCAACTGGGCCTCTGTAATCTGGACAGGGAGCACAAAGTATGGCGGGCATGGAGGGAAGAGCACTGCAGACATCAGTGCAGACTGAGGTCACTAGACATGTACCTGACGGCACTGCCTTCCAGTCCTGGCGGTGCTGGTGGCGCAGGGCTGGAGCCTTAGGAAACCGTTCACATGTTTACAAACATGGCTCCAAGGCATTTGTTAGGAGGATGAGCACAGTGTCCGGCCTACTCAGGAATGTGAGCATATGGAAAATGTGCCATATATCACCAGAGAGATGCAAATTACGATGAGATCACCACAACCCAGAACACTGGCATCAAGGGGCAGAGGGGTAACAACCCTAACCCTCCGTCACTGCTGTGGGAATGCAGCAACTTTCACTACTTTGAAAGTCAGGTTGCCGTTTGACTATGCTGAACACATTCTTACTATGCCATCTGGAAATCATGACTTGGTATTTATTCTGAGAATTTGAAAAGTTTGGTCCATGTAAAGCCTGTGCATGGATGTTTAATACCAGTTTTATTTACAATTACCCAAACATACATAACCAAAATATTTTTCATTAGGTAAATAGATAAATATGCAATGGGCTATTATTGTTCCGTGGGATTAAACTGCTTGAGAGGGCAGTTTTAAAGGCTATATTACAATCAAAGTATATTTATATTTTAGAGTCAAATTACAGGGCACAAAAGGATGGGTTTAAAGGAAGTGTGGCCAAGCAACCTCAATACGAGCAGTGTTTAGAGCCTAAGGTACCGGGGACACACATAGTACACACTTGTCCAGTACTTTTGCAGGCTCAAGCTCCTCCCACTATGCACATTCTCCGGCCTTCTAAAGGCCCTTTTTTTGGTTTTTCAAGACAGGGTTTCTTTGTGGCTTTGGAGCCTGTCCTGGAAATAGCTCTTGTAGACCAGGCTGGTCTCAAACTCACAGAGATCTGACTACCTCTGCCTCCCAAGAGTGCTGGGGATTAAAGGTGTTCGTCACCACTGCCCAGCACAAATGCTTATACACTATTAACTTGTTTTTTTGTTTGTAGCCTTGGCTGACCTGGAGCTCTGTATGTAGACCAGGTTGGCCTTAAACTCCAAGAGACCTGTTTGCCTCTGCCTCCCAAGTACTGGAATTAAAGGTGTGTGTGCTGGAGAGATGGCTCAGAGATGGTCTTCCAGAGGTCCTGGGTTTAATTCACAGCACCCACATGGCAGCTCACAACTGTAACTTCAAGATCTGATGCCCTCATACAGACATACATGCAGGCAAAATACCAAGCACATAAAATGAAAATAAATAAACAGAAAGAGGTGTGTATGATACCATACCTGACAATGTTATTATTATTTTACAGGTACAAGAATATACAAAGCATCAGCCCCAAACAACATAGAGCAAACATGAATGACGTTTCGCAAAAAGCAGAGGTAAGTAAATCTCAAAAGTTTAGCCTGTGTGTGTGCATGTGCGTGTGTGTTGATGCAGGGAGGAGTCAGGAAGACTTGGAAAGGGCTGAGTGAGAAGCAATGCACAGGGACAGGAGGATTGTGGGAAGAGTCACATTTAGGTGCATGTAATTAATTGGTAGCATCAGTGTGTAAAATTGAAGAGGGTTCTGTTCACACACTGTTTTGGGTCAGTACTTAAATCTGGGTTCTGGGAAGCATGCGTACTAAACTTCTGCATGGCAGTGAAGTGATAGAGCTGTCATCTTACATAGATTTTTAAATACATCGGTCTTAAAAATGACTCCTTCCGTCAGGACCAGGCTATAGAGACAGATGACCTGAACAAGGGGGAGCTAATGGACCCCAGACTGATAGCTGGGGATCCAGCATGGGACTGACTCAGATCCCCTAAACATGGGTCTCAGTTAGAAGGCCTGGACAGTCTAAGGGACCTCAGACAGTGGAACCAGGATGCATCCCTGGTGCATGAAAGGACTTTGGAAGCACATTCCCCATGGAGGGATACTCCCTTAACCTGGGAGGGCCCAGTCCCTACTCCAAATGTCTTGACAGATTTAGATGATCCCTTCTGGAAGACATCACCCTACATGTGGAGTGGGTGGGGGATGGGATGAGAGGGGGTTGGGAGGCATGGGAGGGAGGGAGGGGGAACTGGGAGGAAGGAAGGAAGGAAGGAAGGAAGGAAGGACTCCTTCAGTGTGGTTTTGCTGAGGCTAGGACCGTTGGAGGTGATAATTCACTTTGAGAAGGAGGACTCTTAGCATCTTCTGGAAACTGCAGTAAAGGCCTCTTAAGTGTCTCCCTTTTACAGCTTCTTGGTTATAGTTACTGAGAATTGACAGACCCCAGATGCTGACACTCAAAAGTAACAAGCTAAGAAACCTGAATGGGCCTACAACACACAGTAGTTAGGCATGAGCAAGATCTGTCACAGGTCAGCAAGCCGCGTGTCCTTGTCTTTAGGGGAGTTTGGCCACTCTACTCTCTCATATCTCTACCAGATTTCCTTACTCAGTCCATATGGCTACCCTGCACATTTTAATGAGCCTTTAGCTAGTTACACATGGGCATCCCATCAGGAAGCATGGCTCACCCGTGGGGTTAAACTGGCCTTCAGCTTTGACTGTCTTATCTGCTATACCAGTAGGAATGAGGTGTGCAATACGGGCTTTACCTTAAAAGCCCAATCTTATGCTTTGTTTCCAAATTCAAACACCAATCCTCAATCCGAATCCTTAACAATACGGCAGGAAAATACAGTATAAGTAGTTTGTAGTTAGAATTCAGTATTTGATTTCTATATTTTACTGGACTTCAGGCTCAGTCGAGTGCTACCTTTACTTGGGGTTTCTTACTGTAACTTCAGATTAACTTAAGTTTTAGAGAACATGTAATCAGGCTGTGGTGATCCAAGCGAAGGTTTGAACTTGTATCTATTTGTTTTGATGAGTATTTTCATGTCTTATTCTTGTTTTTGCCTACTTTCCTTTTCTCTTTAAACTTTCTTCTCTTTATTTTCTTCTAACTAAGATTCTGCTGTCTTCATCTAAACCTGTTCCCAAATCCTATGTGCCAAAACTTGGCAAGGGTGATGTAAAGGATAAGTTTGAAGCCATGCAGAAGGCCAGGGAGGAGAGAAACCAAAGGCGATCGAGAGACGAAAAGCAAAGAAGAAAAGAACAATATATTAGAGAGAGAGAATGGAACAGGAGGAAGCAGGAGGTCATTTTATTTTATTTTACTGTGAATATTAATCTTATTCCTTGTAGTGCATCGACACTAACATTTCATATAAACCATGCTGTGTTCTATTGTACCCTGATTTAAACTGAGCATCAGCCTCCCCTCCCTTCCCTTCAGTCTCTCCACTGTTTCCACTGCAATCTACCATGATCTAATAGTAAAATGAAGTCTCCATTAGTAAATGAAAGCTTTAAATAAATTGCATTACAATGTGCTTTTATACTTATTGTTTATACTTGTTATTTTCTTGCTATAGTTCCTCAGAACTATAAGACCGATGAAAACTTATTTTTCTTATATAAATATATGATAATTTTCATGCAAGAAGAACAGCACAAGGCTCAGAATTACCTCTGGTTCCAGGGGTCCACTGGGCATCCTAGCAGTTTTCCCTGTGCTGGGGGCCACTCTAATATATTCTAGTCTGATGTAAGGACACGTGTTCATATTCATTTATTTAACCACCTAGATTAAAGAAATGCTTGCTTCAGATGATGAGGAAGAGATCTCTGCTAAAATAGAAAAGGCATATGTCCCAAAGCTAACAGGTAAGAACCCTGAGGGGTAAACAAAATAGAGATTGCAAGAGAAAGAAAGAAGGCAAAATGGACAATGTTTTTTTTTTTTTTTTTTTTTTTTTTTTTGTGTGTTCTTAGGGACGGTTAAAGGTAAATTTGACGAAATGGAGAAACATAGACAGGAAGAACAAAGGAGGAGAACAGAAGAAGAGAGGAAACGCAGGCTTGAGCAGGACCTGTTGGAAAAGAGGAAAATACAGCGTGAGCTAGCAAAAAGAGCTGAGCAGGTAGATGCTAAATGCTGCATTAGTGTTTGCTTCTGGACCTAAGAACAAATGAGAACTAATTAAATTATTTAATACAATATAAGCTTATTAACAGTGGCTAGCCTGAAAACATTACCTTTTGAAAATATTCAGTATCAGATAACCAGTAGTATGGGCAGGATGTGCCTATTTTAGGAGGATGATGATAAGGCTGTTGTTACATGATCTTTCTAATTGTTTCTACATTCCTTAAACTGACAATATTCCTACCTTTGCTTGGTATCTATCTCTAAGAATGTTACAATGGCATAAGGCATTTTCACATATAAAGTATTCATAACCACAAAGCACAACTATAATTGCCGTCCTTATAAAACAGATTTTTATGAAAGATGTTGATATGCAGGCGTGCTTTGCTAGCTAGTGTGTGTTTGTGCACAATGTGTGTGCAGTGCACACAGAGGTCAGAAGAGGGCACAGATCACTTGGATCTGAAGTTGCAGAGCTCTGAGCCATCAACATGTATGTGCTAGGAGCCAAGCCCAGGTCGCCTGCAAGAGCAGAGGTGCCCCCCTTCACCTCTGAGCTCCCTCCCCAGCCCCTTAGAGCAGTATTCTGCATGCCTTAAATCAATATGCTCTGCTCCTTCTAGCTCCTACCGCTTTTCAAAAGAGAAGGGTGATAAAGAAAATAAAGCATGTCCTACCTAAGCTTGAATGCCAAGGAATCCATTAACTTCAAGTTTGTGACACAAACACTACTTATTTGGTGGGAAGTGATGATATATGTCAGATTAAATGTGAAGAATGAGAATTTTCCTATACTTTATGCTACCCTTATCTGGAGAAAGGATGCTGTGCACTTCATTCAGTGTTACCTCTTCTACTCATTAAAGCTGAGCTTTCATTTTGTAGTGAAATTTTATAAAGATAGAGAATTATGAAATGAGAACTATTGAAGTTGTAATTATTGCCATATATAATTACTACAAATATATACCTATGTAGATACGATTTATGAATGTAGTTATATTAAAACTGTAAAGTAAATGAATAAGACTATTGTGTATAAAATGTGGAGTCTTGCATAATACATACTGTGTGTGCATACACAACTAGAGTAAGTCTTTCGTTCTTCAGTACTTTCAAAGCACTGGTATTTTCTAGGCCTACTGACCCATTTTAAACCCAAGAATGGAATGGTAGGTAGTGTTTCCTCAAACAAACATGTGAGCTTGACTATAATAATAATAATAAATGACTGGATGATCAAAAGGTAAATTAAAATAAATATGATCATGGAAAAAGTCAGTGTGTTTACACCACTTGCTGTGTGTAGAGTGCCACAGAGCCCTGGCTAATGATGTTTTAGCTCTATTAAAGATACAACAATGTAGTGACTTCTTGTTATAAATGTGTAAAGATTAATTTTAAAACATAAGTACACTTTCTACTCAAAAGTAATATGACTTAATGCAAAGTAGTGTAATGTTTGCTTACCGGTTACTTGTATAAACCAGTATGCAAGAGGAGTCCCTGAGCCAGAAATGGTTAAAGTGATTACCAAGATATTACCACTTCCAAGACTGTAGGACCTTACAAAGAGTTAAAAAGGAATCTACCTTGTGTATTAGATACTAGAATAAAAAAATATGTGAGAAAACACTGAGGGTGTATTACCTGGTTAACTCTGAAGATACTGTGATGGAAAATTAAAGCCCATCCATTCAGGGACAGATATCGGTGGTAAATAGGATCTTGAAAAAAAGGCAAGGAAGGAAATCTGGGGCTGAAATAAATTCACTTTGTATAAGGATGGATATGTACATATACATATACATATACATATACATATAATCAGTTCTTTAATGTTAACTTGTAAAAGTCAACACTAACTGAATTCTAAACATGTTCCTCTTGACTATACTAATTCATCATTTTCCATGTTTGTTTATCGTTTTGTAATGGTTTAGAGTGAGCAAAGATAAAAAGAAAACACTGACAACAGAAATCTGAGCCAACAAAGTGGGAAAGCCCAGTAAGAGCTCTGTCCACCGTGGCAGATCAGGAGGACTGGAAGAGCTCTAGGAAATAGGAGCCTGGGTTTAATGAACTGTTTCTCTTCACAGTAGTCTCAGGGTCTGGCTTATCACATCTCGTGGATAGCTTTTTTTACTGAGGAATTAATTTGATTGCCTATTGGAAAACAATTCATTTTGTAATTATTTTAATTAGAGAGCCATTAAAATTCCACTTAGTATGATACATCATTGAAAAAACCTATTCCTTTTATACAGCAAATCAGTTTGAGTAATTCTGTAATAAAACATGTTGTTCTTTTTTTTTTGTGGATTACATTTTTTTTTGCATGCAGATATACACAGTGAGATCCTTCACAGAAACTTTCAAACATTTAAAATGTTATTGTTAAAAACTAAAATGTTTAATATAAAATTACTCTGATAAAACTGTTATTAAAAATATAAGGTACTTTTTTTTAAATTTTATTTGAAACATGGTACCACTATATAGCCCTGGCTAACCTGGAACTTGATACATAGATGAGGCTGATTTCAAACTCACAGAAATCATCCTGACTAAATTTCACTCTAGGACAGTTCTTTGTTGGTTTGTTTTTGAGCTAGGGTTTGTCTGTGTGGCTCTGACTGTCCTGGAACCCCACCCAACCCTTATGACACTGTCTACTTGTCTGTTCTTAATGTTTCTTTTTCCTGAAATTTCAAACACTGCATTGTTAAAATCACCTATTTTATCTCAGCAGTTTCTAAAATATCAGCCTGCCTATCAAGCTACCCTAATGATGTTTCTTCAGAGAAATGTGCTCCAACTTTAGATGATGGCTTTTTCCTAATTCAGTGTGGCCAAAATATAAGAAAATATTATAAGTACCACAGTTATCCTCCCTTCTAATCTAGCTGATATTTCTTCCATACTTTATTATTGTTATCAGTTATATTTTTGTCAGATATTTTGGTTAAGAAATAGGGTCACAACCATTTGATTGTTTGTGTGGATTTTCCTTCTGCTATTGCAGGGCAGAGGATGGAGGGTTGTTTTTGTGCATCTTATTTTAAATTGCTACTAAACTTGTTCCTTGTAAGCTCACAGTAAAAAAATTGAAATTTTACCAGAAGACATGGCTAGGTTACTTTTCAGTTGTATGTTTGAAAGCACCAAGTAGAAAATTCAATGTAATGTAACGATATGAAATTCTCATTCAATAGATTGAGGACATAAGCAATACGGGAACCGAATCCGCAGCAGAGGTAACAGACGTTTCCTTTAATGAAACATTCACTGAAAATTACCTGATTCACACATTATCTTGTAATCCAAGAAGGACATTCGGGCTTTTATTTCACTGTTGATTATAAACCTCACAAGGTCAAGGATGGGACACTTTCAAACACTGGACAAGTGTGCCTCTGCCTGAACACTTGGGTCATGAAGCGCATGAGTCACTCTGCCAAGGCCATGTTTCCTGAACTGACATCTGAGGCCACTGAAAACTGACATTTTTAAAAGGCAGTTTCGTTTTCATCATTTCTTCTCTCCCCAGAGTCCCTGAGAGCTCGAGTTCTGGGTTTCACATACCAGTGTAGAGGGTAGTGTGTATCCCGGAGAAGGAGTGTCCAATAACCATAAAACATAGTCCAGTTAACTAGCAAGGTTAAAATCTATCCAACCAATTTGATGGTGTGCCTAAAATTATGGTACAAAAGTTGAAAAAATATTTATTTTAGGAGCATGTGTTAGTTTATTTTTGAAAACTGTTAGAAGTTGAGATAAATCTGTAGTAAAAACAATTAAAATCAATTTTAAGAGAATGCATTCTAGCTAAGTATGGTGATGCATGGCTTATTCCAGCACTAGGGAGGCAGAGGCAGGTGGATCTCTGAGTTAGAGGCCACCCTGGTCTACATAGTAAGTTCCAGGACAGCCATGGCTACATAGAGAAACCCTGTCTCAAAACAAACAAACAAACATAATTTGTTTTCAACTTTAATAAGATAAATGCTTTTCAGCTTTATATATGTTAGTAAATCACTTAGGTAAATATTCGATGGCTTTTCTCATTAGATACTACTTTACTAAGTACTGAAAAACTTAGATGGAGTAGCAGATTGTGGAGAAAACTTCATTGTATGTTTAAATCAAAACTATCCACCATCAAATTGGTCTAAGTATGCTCACATGCACAGTACCTTTTGTACAATTAATGTACAGATTGTCTAAAATAAGTCAGTGTTACTACAGTCTTGTTACTTAATTGGGGAGGGTATATTAATTCTGTCTTCCCAAATGCAGAATGCTTCTTGAAACTGCCATCAATGGATCTCAGTAAACTTCATTAATGATGTACAGTGAGTTCAGAGAAAGATGTATTTAAGAGTAACTAGTTGGAAAAAAATAAGTTTTTTTTCTTTCATAGCCTTGACAGCAATGTAATTCACCACTTACCACTTATGGAGGTGAAGTACACTACCACCTACATTTTTATTATGAATATAGATGCTAATTATCTATTTTATAAACAGGAAGGTGATGACTCACTGCTTATAACAGTGGTGCCTGCCAAATCATACAAAACACCTGGAAAAACAAAGAATCCTCAGGACCTGGAGAAAGAACAAGGGAATGAGAGGCTAAATCAAGAAGACGACAAAACAGTAAGACATGAGGAAGAGTGCAGATCTCTCAAGGAAGCCAAGTGTCTTTCGTTAGTCATGGTAATTGTTTTTTTACAAGAACAAATCCAAAGTTTAGTTAACAGCAATTGTTTTTTGGGTAACAAGTTTGTTTCCATAGGATGATGAAACTGAGGCCCAAAAAGAATCACATTTTCCTGGAAAATTGAAATTAACCTTTGAAGAACTGGAGAGACAAAGACAAGAAAATCGCAAGAAGCAAGCTGAGGAGGAGTCGAGGAGGCGCTTAGAGGAAGAGAGGCAAGCCTTTGAGGAAGCACGGAGGCACATGGTGAGTGTATACGCCTTACTTAGCTCTGCTTCCGTCTGGGAGCTTTGCATGAGACTTGCAGATTCCAGGGGCCTCTCTAAGGGGAAACCCTCATTTATTGTTTTTTTTTCCCCAAGTACTGTGGTTTGGACCAACGGCCTACTGCATGCTAAAAAGGTACCCTACTACTGACCCTATTCAAGTCCCAAAGACATGGCTTTGAAACCATGCATGTCCATAGACAATGTACATGGATGTAATCCATGTGTACTACTCAGTGCATCTGGTTTCTCTTCATGTGTCAGTTAAGCAGTATATCTAATGGTATGGTTGTAGGACATTTTCAAGTCAAATTAACAATTGCTCTGTAATCCCAGCTGTTTGGGAGGATGAGGAAGGGCACGCAGTCAAGAATGAACAAGAGCCAGAGCTGACGGCACCCTGGGCCCCTTAGTGAGACATGCTCAGAGATAGTGCACTTGTGTAGCGTGCACTAGGCCAGAGGGTTAGTCCCCACTCACTCTCCTACCCGAAGAGGAGGCGGCATGACTCCAGTCTCATTTTCAGAATTTAAAAATGAGCACCTATAATTTTGGGCTGGAGAGATGGCTCAGAGGCTAAGAGCATTGACTGTCCTTCCAGAGGCCGGGAGTTCAATTCCCGTCTATAGTGAGATTTGGTGTCCTCTTCTGGCCTGCAGGGACACATGCAGGCAAAATGTTGTATACATAATAACTAAATCTTTAAAAAAAATACCTATAATTTCAAAGTTACCATGACTTTCTTATGAGGATTACAGCTCACCATTTTAAAATTTGTAGACATTTATTTAAAATGGGGTTACTTTTGACCACAGTGGTGGTACATGCCTTTAATGCCAGCATTGAGAGGCAGGGGCCGACAGCTGAGTTCCAGGACAGCCTGGTAAGTAAAACTGTCTCAAAGTCAAATAAAATGGTATTCACTTTAAGATAATACCTACATATTTTAATGTAGCTGGTAATCAGCTTAATAAGATAGTTAAATAATAGTTTCAGTTCATGTTTAAATGAGCAAGTAATTGTGAAATGAATTTTACATAAAATACCAGAACAGATGGTACTTTCATTTTTTTTTTTTTTTAACTATGGAAATCACCATAGTTCAAAGTGAGGAAATTATTTTTAATTTGAAAATTGTATTGAGTCAGGGTTTTGCTGTAGCTCTAGCTGTCTCAGAACTCACTGTGTAGACTAGGCTGGCCTTGAACTCAGAGATTCACCTACCTGAGAGCTCAGATTAAAGTGTCTCAACTTCTCCCAACACTCTCCTCTCTCTCTGCAATGTAGTTTTCATGGCTTTAGCTCTGCAGTACAGCTTGAAATCAGGGTTTGTGATACCTCCATCAGTTCTTTTCTTTTTTATATATATATCTTTATTTTACTTTTTTTACATGTCAATCCCAGTTCCCCTCCCTCCCTCTTAACCCTCTCTGCCCCCTCACATGCACCCTGACCACCCTCCCCTCCCATCCCCCCACCCCAATTCCACATGTAGTGAGTGCAGTACCATCCAGGAACTCTTAAGTACAAACTATTTAGTTCATGAGAATTATGTCAGCGGAGCCCTCTTAAAATGTTATGCAGTCTCTTTTATTCAAAAGCTTCAGAAATTTTATTTAATCTTATTGAATCTTGAGTACCTTTTTATTTGTAACTTCTGTACATTTGATTATTTTATCACATAGGAAATTAAAATGGAAGAGGATTTGGCCAGGCATGGTAGCTTTTAATCTGAGCAAGCACTTGGGAGAAACAGACAGGTGGATCTGAGTTCAAGGCCAGCCAGGTTTACATAGTGTGTTCCAGGGCAGCCAGTGGTATTTAGAGAGACCCTGACTCAACAAATAAAAAATACGAAGGAAGAGGCTTTGGAGTAAGTATTCTGGGAGCGTGCAAACACTTGGTCAAGCTGCTAAGCCCTCGCCTTTCACTGGCAAGGCATTTCTATCCCAGTGTCAACGTTTAGTGACGAATATTTTCTTTATTAGGTAAATGAGGATGAAAACCAAGTTGTGGGAAAAGTCTTTAAAGACTACCGCCCTGGAAAACTCAAACTCACTTTTGAAGAGCTAGAGAGGCAAAGGAGAGAGGATGAAAAGAAGAAAGCAGAGGAGGAGGCCCGGAGGAGAATAGAGGAGGAGAGGAGGGCATTTGCTGAAGCAAGGAGAAGCATGGTAAGAAGACAAAACTAACACAACACTAGTCAGGGATTCAACATGTGTGCACTTGGGAAAGCTATGAAAAGCCTGACAACCACCTCGGTATCATCCTCAGGAATACTGTGCTCTTTTAAGACTAGAGTAGCTAGCAGTTTGAGGAATCCTGCCTCTGCCTTCTCGGTGCTGGGATTACAGATGTGCACCTAGTTTACTTGTGTTCCAGGGCTTGAACTAACTCAGGTCCTGAAGATTGCAACACAAGAACTTTACTGACTGAGCTATCAGGGCTTGAACTAAGGTCCTGAAGATGGCAACACAAGAAGAACTTTACTGACTGAGCTATCAAGCCTAGCCTAGGAATTCAGGTTTTAGAGGGTGTAAATGAAATGATTAAACTTTGAGGAATAGCCTATCATCTCTGAAATCTGCAGCAAACCTATGAATGCCAAATAGGTTTTAAATACCAGGCACTTATCAGCATTTCCTTCCCTTGTGCTGAAAGGGTTCCCATTACCAATGCCATCCATGCCTGCCATAAAGGGTTGTGCCCTATTGTCCCTCTCTGGAAGCACATGCTTTCCAGACTAGATCTGACTGTCAAGAAAAGAAAAATTGAGCTGGAGAGATGCATCAGCAGTTAAGAGCACTGAATGCCCTACCCCGAGGGCCAGGGTTCAACTTCCACATGGCCGCTGACAACTGTAACTCCAGTTCCAGGGGAGCTGACATCCTCACACCAGTGCACATGGAATACATTTTAAAGAGACTACAGTTGTCTATGAGAGGGAGAGAGAGAGAATAATCAGAGAATTCCCAACAGTTCCCTGCTTCCTTTCCCTTCCCTGCTGTCCTTCCTTTATTGTCCGTTTTAATCTTGCTCAATCTGTTGATGACCAAAGCCACTTAATTCTAACCGACTCTTCATTCTTTCTTACATATTGATACCTAATTTGTCACAAAGGTAAACTTTCCATGCCATGTAAAATGACCATCTGATTAATTGACCCATACACTGCACTATGAAACTTGTGACTCCATGCTTTCATTCATAACTAAGTGACTGACTCATCCTACCTACCATCTTCACTGCTTTAATCCCTATCACTGTTGCTACTCCTTGCCTGTGAACCCAGGAGAGGTTTTCTCACTTCACGTGTCCATGTCTGCATGCAGGACACAGTTCAGATCAGACAGAGAAGTATTTATTTCCAGGAGACAGAAAAACAACTTCATGGTAAAAAACATTTGACATCAATTTGCAACCAAAGGTTCTAGTTCAACTTGGAAATTGCTTGAATTCAGGATGTGGTAGTACAATAAAACGGTTATTGGGGACCGGGAAGGCGGCTCAGCTTGGTGAAGGTACTACTAAGCCTGATGACCTGAGTTCAACCTTGGACATTTGCATAAGGATGAACTGACTTCCTGAAACTTTTTTTTTCTGACACCTACATGCCCACCTCCCAAAAAATAGACAGATGAACATTTTAAAAATTTAAAACCTTACTGTTGGGAGCCTCCATGATGATGGACAGAGCACTAAGTATTTGCAAGCTTTATTGTATCCTGTGAGAACCATAAGAAAGTTGTCACAGGGAGGCTCAGTGAGGTAAGTGGTTTATCCAAGGTCACAGTCAAATTAATTCCTCATAGAAATTTACAAAATTATGAGAAAAGTCTGCTAGTCACATTTCTAATGAATTTCTGGTGTCAGCATGACACCTTCCTACAGGTATGACACCATTTATAATCTTACTGGAAATACTCTGAAGCCGGACTTCTGGCTTTGTTACCTGCATTTCTGTTCACTTTGGACAAGTTCCTCAGGATTCTTGCCTGTAAACCAAGGATATTTAGCTAAGCTATTACCTTATAATAGCTTTAAACACACCCACACACCCACACCCCCATCTTGGCAACAAACTTCTGCACAATAAAATTATGGCATTAAGTCTTTTTGTTTTTGATAAAAGCTCATGATGATCCAGATGTAATCAACTCACTAAGACCAGACAGACTATGACTTAACTAAAATGCCCTATTTTAGTGACCAGATTAAAATGTTCTCAATGTCATTAAAGGATCATTGTATAATTTTGTCTATTTGAATGGAGAACAGATGCAGATGGTTACCCTCCCCCACACTGCGTTGCATTTCTGAAAATACCCCCTTGTGAAATTTTATGACTTCTGAATTTTTAAATCAACTTGAAACAAGTTTTATCCAAGAAATCTGTTTCCACAAGAAATACTACCTTTTCCATATGCACAATTCTGGAAAATGGTAAAATATTTATTTTGAATAGGTACTAGATGATGACTCCCCAGAGATATGTAAAACAGTTTCTCAAGAATCTCTGATGCCTGGAAAGCTGGAAATTAATTTTGAAGAATTATTAAGACAAAAAATGGAAGAAGAAAGACGGCGAACAGAGGAAGAACGACGGCATAAACTAGAAATGGAGAAACAGGGATTTGAGCAACTGAGACAAGAAATGGGAGAGGTAATATTCACTGAGGGTTTTCCTTACATCGCACTATTGTGACTATATTATTAATAGCTAAAGTGTCTAACATACTTTTATGACAGATATACTTAATATAGGTGCGTGTCCAGCCTGGTAGGATGTAGCTAGGAATGTGACCTGACCAATAAACAAACCGTAAAAATTCACTTAAAATATTAAATCTTTTTAGGTTATCTGTTCTAACTAAATTATGTTTCTCCTGTATGATGTTATAGGTATCAGTGTCCTGATCCAATGTCAAAGACAGTAAAGCTGTTCCTCTAAAGGACTGAGATTCAATTCCCACATGGCGGCTCACCATCATCTATCCACTCAAGTTCTAGGGAAGCTGATGTCCTATTCTGACCTTCACAGGTTATGAATGTGGCATGCATACATCATACAGGCTAAGCATTTACATATGTAAACAAAGTCTAGAAATACCATTGATACTGTATTTAATTTTAGGTCCTAAAGCACAATAGTATTGAATGATAGCAATTAAATTAAAAAGTTTTTTTTGTTTTTTTTCTTTTTGAGACAGGGTTTAAGTAGCTCTCCTGAACTAGCTCTATAGATTAGGTTGGCCTCAAACACAGATCCACCTGGCTCTGCCTCCCAAGAGCTGGGAAGGAAGCCCATCCGGCTGCCAAAGAGTTGTACACTGCTTCCTTTATGTGAATCGGAAGTTATTAATTAACTGTGTATGGGTGTTTTGCCTGTATTATGTATGGTGCCATACACAGGTACTGCCAGTGGGCCAGAAGCGGGTGTTAGATCTCCTGGAGCTGCAGTTAAAAGGTGGTGAGCCTGTGTGTGGGTGCAAGCACCAAGCCATCTCTCAAAACGCAGAAAACTCTGAAAACAGTACATGTAACATTCCAGTTGACCTGTGACTTCCAGGCATCTGCTTGGTTGTCTTCAAATGTATTTCCCCACACACAGATGAGATGGGATCCATTGTGATTTTTCTGATATTCAACATACAGAAATCTTAATCTTTTGAAGGAAGAAGAAGAAAATGAAACGTTTGGATTGAGTAAAGAATATGAAGAACTAATCAAATTAAAAAGAAGTGGTTCTATTCAGGCTAAAAATCTAAAGAGTAAGTTTGAAAAAATTGGACAGTTGTCTGAAAAAGAAATACAGAAGAAGATAGAAGAAGAGCGAGCAAAGAGGAGAGCAATTGACCTTGAAATTAAAGAGCGAGAAGCAGAAAACTTCCACGAGGTACATAATTATTGTATTTGTTATGACCTTGATCCTGTCTTAGTATTTACAGCCCCTAAATGGCATATATGTAATAATCTGGAAACTGAATAGCAAAAGACTATTTAGCTCATATAAGCTCCAAAAGGATGAGGGAGGAATGGATAAGAGTACAAAATGGAGAAAAAATGGAATGGTAGCAAGTTTAGAAATAAACAGGCAGGATGACCGTGCACTCATCAGACTAAGTTATCCCATGTTCTTGGATTTCCCTAAATGTAACTAAAACGTGACCTGGGAAACTAAGAATCTTCTAAACCAATGAAAGCATGTATGTGCTGATGAGCCATGATTTCCTTACAGAATTAATCTACAGCTTGTTTCTCAGTTCCCACTTATTGTATAATTTCACCCCCCCCAAATCTCCCACTGCACTATGGTAATAAATGATTCTGTTACCTTAATTTAATGGCTGTGGGTGCAGCTCAGCTGACAGTTATATGCCTGGCATTTAGTACCACATAAGCTGCATGAGGCCTCACGTGCTGCAACAGGTTGGCAGTTAAAAGCCTACTGCTCCTTTTAGAGGACAGGGGTTCTTCTCCAGGAACCCACAGAGCAGCTTAAATGCATGACTCACCTTAGTCACACTTCCCGACATTCAATCTAGATACTTCTTCATATTCTTATGTATCCTTCCTTGACATTTCACAATAATTTACATAATTTATTTCTAAAGTTTCCAGAATGTTTAGTAGGGTGAAGAAATACTTGTATTTAAAATTGTAATGACAAGATACTCTGTGATGGGGTGTGCACATAAAAATGTAAAAGAACTTTTTTGCTATTAGCACTAATAAATCAAATAGTGAGTTGGATATAAGCCAGGTGTCCAACAAGACACTGACCTTTGAAGTGGAACTTACGTATTATAAACTGTTTTACAATTTATTAACTCACTTTTTCCTGAAAATCTAAACGGCTACAGTATCACATAGAGCAAAATCAAACATGTTATGTATTTTATGCCTATAAATTACCAAACCATTAATGTTATTAATCAACTCTTGGCAAACAATTTTTATTTAAAGGAAGATGATGTTGATGTAAGGCCTGCAAAAAAAAGTGAATCTCCCTTTACTCATAAAGTTAACATGAAAGCCAGATTTGAACAAATGGCTAAGGCAAGAGAAGAGGAGGAGCAAAGGAGAATCGAAGAACAAAAGTTACTACGAATGCAGTTTGAGCAGAAAGAAATTGATGCGGCAGTACAGAAGGTAAGTTCCAAAACCGGTTTCAAGCAATTAAATTGTCTTCATAGCTTTCAAGCTATCGGAATGGTTCAGAAATAGTATAATCAATAAACCCAGAGCATCACGCATGCTAGCCAAAGGCTCTTTCTTACATGAGTTATATCCCAACCTTTCTTTTACCTTCAAATTTCTATGACTAAAATTAAACGACAACTTCATAAATGCACTTATTTTTAATACAGAAAAGAGAAGATGAGGAGGAAGAAGAAGGTAGCATCGTTAATGGCTCCACTACTGAAGATGAAGATCAAACCAGATCAGGAGCTCCATGGTTCAAAAAGCCTTTAAGAAACACCTCAGTTGTAGATAGTGAGCCAGTCAGATTCACTGTTAAAGTAACAGGGGAACCCAAGCCAGAAGTTACATGGTGGTTTGAAGGAGAAATGCTGCAGGATGGAGAAGACTATCAGTACATCGAAAGAGGTGAAACTTACTGCCTCTATTTACCAGAAACTTTCCCTGAAGACGGAGGAGAATACATGTGTAAAGCAGTCAACAATAAAGGCTCTGCAGCAAGTACCTGCATTCTTACCATTGAAAGTAAGAATTAATTGGCTTTTGATCCTTTATTTCATTAGAGAAATAAACAGGAAAAACATCATTCTTCTTCTTCTTCTTTTTTAGTGGATGACTACTAGGCTTCCTTCTTTCCTTGGAACTCTTTCTCCAACTCTTTTGCTACATCTCTGTGGAGGGGCCAAAAGGAGACCAGAGGTGCCACTATACTGACTTAATACCCTTTCCCAAAACAGGAGCTCATCCAAAGAAAGCCTTTCCCAATGCTCACCAGGTTACCATGTTGTGCCCAGTAAAATGCAATTGACAGGGAATGGAGATGTATTCTTTCTGTCAGAACCTAAAACAAAAGCTTTGTATTTTCCACACTTATACCAATTAAGGCTGAATTTAAGAGCAAGAGTTTTACGTCTAAAATTAGACAGAGGACAATGAGATTGGCACTAATCAGACTTCCTCTGTATGTGACTGCTGTAGACCTCTGAAGCAGATATACTGACGGAGAAGCATCGTTCTTCTCACAACAAAGGAGGAACACTGAAAAGCCCAAGCAGGGTGCGTGTGTGCGTGTGTGAGTTTAAAGAAACTACTAAATTTAATACAAACCAAAGCTTATGCAGTGTTCTAAGTGTGATGAATATGTAACATGTCTTTTCAAATGTGTAATGACTTTTAACTTTATGCTATAACCTGCCTGAACAAATTACACTTTAATGAGAAAAATATTAGTATTCCATTCAGGAGATAATGTTTTTGTTTCAAGACTGAAAAAGGAAGAGATTTAGGAGAAAGTGATTGATATTACATTCTAGCTTTAAAAATAAGTCTGTAAAATGTCAGGTGTGACAACATTTGCACACACCTTTACTCCCAGAACTTGGGAGACAAAGGAAGGTAGTTCTATATGAGTTCAATGTCACCCTGGTCTATATAGGGAATTGCAGGATAGCCAGTACTACATAGTGAGACTTTCTGGAAACAACAAAGTCTGTAAATATAATTAATTATAACTATTATGTTCTATTACTTTTGGTTGATTTATATTTATATTCAATTTCCTGGAAAACAATTTTACATTGTGAAACCATAATAAAGTTACCCATGCTTTAAAAAAAAAAAGGTCTTGTTCTTTATTTAAAAAGCTGTGCAATGAGGTCTCTGCCCTTTTTAAAAGTTTAAGGAACTTAGCATTAGGATTAAAAAGGCAAATCACCACCAGTACTTTTCTTCTCAAAGCAAACCTTTAATGACAGGAATAAAGGAGAAACTTTTAACTCCGTCTACACAAAGGCACAAAAGACAAAAGCACTCTTATGAATAGTAATCATTGTACATTTATTTTAAATTAAGGAAACCATAAAGAATACAAAACTACACAATCACGTGCCCCTTTACATACAATGTCATTAAAGCAAAACTCTAAACCAGTTTGTAAAGTATTCAATTTACCTCAAGTCCAAGCTGCATCTCCCTAAGACACTGTTCCCATCACAGTAGCCATTTTAAGCCAATCTTCTTTTAACACACGGGTAGTTTCTGTAGAGAACACTTTTCTCAGGACGAAAATGCATGGAGCATGCATAAGAAAATATATATATTCGCAAATGCATTAAGTTTCTCTAGGGTATCACTGAAGAAAATAAAACCCTGGGATTTGCTTCTTTAAACACCAATTTAAAAATTCCTTAATTAAAGTCAATTGACTGATCAAACAGAAAGTAGAGTTATTTTCAGTCAAATTATCTCAAGTATTATGAAAATGCATTTTAAAGGCAGGTAGAAGTTGCAGAAATAAAAATGAGAAATCTCCAGTGATCAGTTAAGTCTATATCAATATTCTAGATGACATGTAACTATTTTCAGGAAGAACTGGTTGTATTGGCAGAGCATTCAAGTCAACGAAAACTCCCTCTGAGAGCACTCACCACCGCTATCTAAACGCTAAGGAATTAACTACCAAGGCATTTGTTTTATCAAATCACTAGCTTTAGCATTAAAATGATTCTCATTACTTAAAAAACAAAAACAAACAAGCATACGCATTTCTGAAACATCAAAGCAAACAATTCAAAATTATCACCACACTAGCACGTATGTCATTAAAAATGCCATAAACTTGTTTAAATATTAAATGAGTTTAATTGCAATTTAAACCATTCTATTTTTCTACCATCCTTAAGTATCTACTGGATTCAAATCAACTGGCTCACCTTTGCAGCTTTTCCAGTTTACTTAAAGGTTAAGATTGGCGCTATTCAAAATGCTTAAAGTACCAGTGAAGGGTTATGGTAATGAATTAAAATGTCTCACAAGATAGAAACAATCCCCAGTATCTATAAGCATTCATCCAGATTTCCAAACACAAACTGCAACTAATCAGTACTTCACAGGCTCTAAATAAAGAGATCTGCTTTCAACATACTGACCCAAACTCACTCACTCCGCACACATACACACACCCCAAACAGTGTGTGTGCAATAACTATATAATTTAAACGTAACAGTTCATGGAACATTTAAGTGAATAGCACTTTAAAATGAAAAGTGATCAAGAGCAGGTACATCACACCCTATATCATTATTATGTATGGGAATACATTTCATATTTCTCAATTATGATTTGCCAATTTTACCTTCTACATTGAGCCCTTCTATGGTCCATGCTCATCGGCTCACCAATGGCATACACTCAAAGGATTCCTCTTTATGGGTAACTATCTCAGGACCTGATTTTATGAGCTATGATTTGGTGCTTGCAGCATCTTCAGCACTGTGTGTGAAAATGAAGGCAGTATTTTTGAATAGTTTTCTTTGTTGTAAAGATAAGCAGGAGTTTTTAATAGGATCAGCACATTTCAGAAACTGAATACAAACAAAACTGATATGGTGCTGCTTTAAGACAGTCATTTTAAGTCAAAATATGTACTAGTTAAACATCATTCCTAAGAACACAAACATTCTAAACTGGCAAAAAGTAAATGCAGCATCAGTTATTAAGGTATTATAAATCAGAAACTTGGTTATGCAGACTATGAAAGGTTATATGTTACACAGTTAACATTTCACTAATGCACATGCCTTTTAAAAAACTTACTGCCAGCATTCCTTATTCTTCCTTGTCAGCAAATACAAGTCATAAAAACAGAACTGTCTATGACTGACCCAAAATGGTCTTACTGAGTTACTATACTTTAAAGCAGTAATAACAAAAGAGGAAAAAGTAAAACAAAACCAAAACCCCCATTTGGAGGGTAAAGAAAATGTCCTGTCAGTTATATAAACAGGCTGTGAAGGCTGTTGAAATTTCTGACCAAATGATTTCCTAAGTCTTAACTATTTAACTATTCTTACTGTAACACTTCTATAACTTGGGGGAGGGAGGTTCAAAAAGATTTGGATGTTTCTCACTTATAGCAGCAATCTACTGATTATAATGAAAAAAAAAATTAAAATAAAAACCATTACCCAAAAGTATAAACAGTTGCTTGAACAACTTAACAGACTTTCCACTAGAATGGTAGCATAAATAACAAAATACATTTGGGGAAGCACTAGCAGATTGCTTTTGAGTACACAACCACAAAAACCTCACAGGGACAACATTAATGTACTGATATATTTATATATATGTCCTTAGGTTGTGCTTACCTGTTGCTTTTTGCAGCAGAACCTAAGGTGGAAGGTCTGGGAAGGCACTGTGAAGTATAAATAATTGCACTGTTTGCAATTAATAAAGATTTTAAACTTTAAACGAATCAAAATCAACAGCCTCCAACTTGTGAATTATGACACTGAATCCAACTATTTCCTTCAGTTTAATTACTAAATGCACCACTTTCCTAGGTCATCTATGCAACAACATCATGCAAAATACTGAAATTGTTCATGTCAATACCCTACACTTAAGAGAATAGATAACTCCTCAACTGTTAACCTTCAAACTAGACTATGTAAACAAGTCTAAATAAGGGTTAGGGAAGTCACTCTAAGTAACATAGAACAGTCAAAAAACATTTCAAAACATCCACAATGAGCTGTACTGTTTTCTGTCCTATCACCTCAACATTTTGGCCTCATAATCTTGCTTTAAAGTTTATGCAAAACAAATGGTGCTCCCCACAGATGACAGAACACATTTATGTAAAGGGTTAAATGCTACTTGGCTTATAATTGGCAATCTGAAATCCACTTCCATCCTACACATTTTAAGTTTTTCATATCACTATAGAAGATGTACATTTTACACTGGAAATCGGCATTTTAGGAGCACCGATAGATATTATTATTCAACTTGTTTAATGATCAATTTCTTTAGCTACTAGCTAAAGCATATCAAAAATACTTACCCATTAAGCTCACTTTAAAAAAAAAAATACAGAACTATGTATTATTCTATGTTAAGAGGCAGTTATGGTTTCCCATAATATCAGCACTGTATTCCAACATAATATTCACACAATATATAGCAATTGCATTATGTGGAACATCGACAAAAAGATACTGTTGCAGTCCAATTTGTCATTCTGATGTACTTACAGTGCAATGCTCCTTGAAGGAACACAATCAAGGATGATACACAGCACAGTCCTCCTCACCCCTACAGAGCTAGTTCTATACTGGCTGGATCAAACCTGCACTTCAACAGACAATGGCAAGACAGACTGTATTTGCATGTAGTCTAATATATTAATATGCAAAGAGCCAACAAATATGCAGAGTAAAACAATGGTTTTCAACAAAACATCAGAACTTCAGCATGAATGTTAAAGAGTAATAAAATGATTCAAATACACAAAAATTAATTGATTCAATGACTGGACTTGTGCAATTACAAGACAATGCTTATCTATACTGCAAAAAGAAAAAAGTTTGAACATCTTCAAACCCAAATGTTTCAATGGCAGATGCAATGTAGCTATACTTCTGCATACTATTTACTTTTCTATCCTAAATTTAGAAAGAAACACACTATTATATACATTGAAAGAGTTGCTTTACACGAAAAAACAAAAAGCTTCTTAGAAACTACTGAAATCACTGTCTGAAAACTGTTCAAAATTAGTTATGCTGAAACAGTCTTGGAAATAAGTGAAGAACAGAAAGGTTAACTGTTGTAGCAGCAGTACAGGTCTGAAACAGTGCTCATATATAAAAGGAAATTTCACTGTTAATGCAATGGAAGTTTACTAAAGATCACTGTATACACATGCAGTTTTTAATCAATCAGAAGGAAAAAAAATGAAGATATCAGGATTACTTGAGCTGAAACAGCCAAATACAACAGAAAAGATCCTCCAATCTACCACTATACTGCAAGGGGGAAAACATGCCAGTGTTTAAAAAGTAACTCATGGGGAAAGCTTATATATTTGTGTATATGTATCTTAATTTATCACTGTTAAGACATTATGAATCCTTTACCCACATATCCAACTTACCGACACAGGAGGTTTCATATCATTTATTGTAAAGCACAAAACAGGCATTTTAAAAGTGAAAGTATACATTGAAAAAGTACATTTATATCACAAAGCATTGACCACATAATAGTTGCAAATACATTTGCTGGAATGTGTACATCTACACTAAGGACTAAAAACAAACCAATTTTCATTTCTACACAGAAATATTAACCTCCTATCAGTAGTGATAGATATTTTGTACATTTTCAAAATAAAAAAAGGGGGGGAAAACACTACTTTTAAACCAAAAACAAAATTAAGATCTTCATCAAGTCGTCTGCATCCATATATTTAACAAAGGTTTTTTCCCCCACACAATGAAGCAAATACTGTATTGTCCACTTCTTATTATTGGCCCTGTGCAGAAGAGATACATAAGAGATACACAAAAAGTTAAAGAAAATCCTTTAAATGGAGCTAATTCAGGAGTGAATCCTTTAAGAAAGAAAAACTGGTTAATATAAATGATGGTGGCTTCTTGCATGATTTGCAAATCCCTGGGGGAAGAAAATTTATTTTTTAAAATCAAAGGCATTATAAAAATAGCACTCAGATGCCAGAAAGCATTATAAAAAAAAACCAAATCCCCAAACACACCACAATATCATAGTTACACTTTACCAGGTAAAAAGTAACACATTCCCAAACAGACAAACATGCAGAAAACATGGCTGGAGCAGGGAGAGGAGAAACCAAGAACCCAATGAGCAAGTGTGCTATACCTGAGGTGCTGGAGGGTGCTGAGGCATTCCTTGGGGGCTCGTCTGGGCATAGTATGCTGCTTGCTGTCTATAGTACTCAGCCCAAGCTGCACTATAATCTGGCTGACCACCTGGTGGGGCCCCAGTGGGAGCAGGAACTGCTTGACCTTGAGGAAAACAGAGGGACTTTATTGCTTCAACTATAATCAAGTCTCACAGAATCTCTTGTCTAGTAAAGAGGATACCTTGCTTCTTGTAATATTCCTCCCAAGCCTTTGAATACTCGTGTCTGCCCTTGTTGACCTAAAAATAACCTCCTGAATTTTAATACAAATTTCCATCCACCGTATGTACAGTTTATAACGACAGGCTCAGAGGTTCTTGTTTCTCTTGAGACAGGGTTTCACTTATGCAGCACAGGCTGGCTCAGAACTTGTAATCCTCTTGCCAACTCCCCAAGAGCTGAGATTACCCCTTCAGCTACTGTTTATCTTAAACATGCCTTAAAGAGAGAGGAGAAAAAACTGCAACACACACAAACAAAAATATGCTCTTTTCATCTTAATCACAAATTGTAGGTTTTAATTCATAGACAAAACAATCCAAACTCACATAGTTTTATAAACAAAGGTAAAGATTCAGACATAATCTTTGACAAGAAAGAAGAAACTACATTTGGTTCTGTTTTGTTGTAGTTTGGTTTTGAGACAGGGTTCCACTGTGTAGCTTTGGCTGTCCTGGAACCTGCCCTATAGACAAGGCTGGCCTTAAACTCAAGAGGTATGTCTGCCTCTGCCTTACCAGTGCTGGGACTAAAGGCGTGTTCCAACCACCACAGGTGGGTTCTTGTTTTAGTTTGCTTGAAATTGAGACAGATCAGGATCTCTCTAACCTGCTTGGCTGGTCTGGACCTCTTGCTATGTAGACCAGGCTGGCCTCATCTTCAGAGTGTACCTGCCTTGATCTCCTGAGTGCCAGGATTAAACGCATAAGCTACCACACCCAGCTCACAATTCTTTTATGTATTTTGGTCACTTGTTTATACTACTGGTCTTACACTACAATAGAGATCTACTGATACACACATACTCTCATACACTGTAACACAAAGACCTACTGTGTTTATATCAGAGTACAGTTTTGCTAAAAATAATCTGGCAGCTGATAAAGAACAAGATCAATGAAACATGTACAACTCAGCTTCCATGAATAGTAGTTTTGTTTCTAAGCAGAGCGACAAGAATTATCAAATGAGAAATATAATCATCAAATCATAGGCATACTGGTCAGATTCTGTAATGAAAAACAAGTTAATTGTAGAACATAGTTTCTTAATAGGGACATTACAATAGTTAAGAACAGAGGGTATTCAGCATTTTTAAAACTTAACTTTGTAATGGCTTAGGCATAAAATATAAATGAAGTACATTTGGCTGAACACACTGGCCAAACCTGTGAATGATACACAATTTTTCTAGCTTTATGAAATCGCTAGTGCAAAAAAAAAACTAAAGAGCAAGCTCATGCTATATGTGAAGACAAAAGGGACACCTGACATTTTGTAGCTTCAGAAAGCAGCCTGTCACCAACTATAAAACTGCTCACAGAATAAGGCCAACTATGTGAACAAAAAATGAGATTTCTGACTCAAACTTAAAAAGCATGGGGCAGGGGTTTGTTTGGGCAATGTAAAAATATTTCCAATACATACAAAAATTCTCTTACTTTTATTTTCCATAAATAACTTTTCAGAGTTTAACATTTGGACCTTGCAAGGAGATACAATTCAAAATTAAGTCTCAGCATTTAGAAAACTCTCAAATACCCAAACAGGGTATTAAAACCACATAATATCTTGTATATGTAAGAGCAAACCTGGTTATGCACAATGACATAAGATACCGGTGGATGGTAAAGCACTCTTCAGGCTCACTCACATAGTCTGTATGAAAAACGCAAATCAACAAGCAATTCTGACCATTAAAGACTTCATTCTAGGCCTCACACGGCCCCTGCCCTTTCTATCAGACCCTCCCTGCCTTTATTCCCTCTGATACTAGAGTCAGATTACATCTTAGCAGGCACCACCCAGTATTTACCTATAGCTCAATGGAAAGCATCACCCATTTCTTTAAGAGCCACCCACCCTCACTAAACAGATTACATGCTGAGTTATCCCTTGACAGACCTACATCTGTGTTCTGTGCTTCAAGATGTCTTCAGAGTCTATCGTATCAGTACTTAACAGTATAAGGGCTTTAAAAAGATTGTGTTGTGTATCGTTTGTATGTTTGAGTACATAAGCCGCGCGTGCGTGTACGTGTGTGTGTAGATGTCAGAAATTGCTAAGTAGCCTTCCTCAACATTAGGTCACCAGTGTCTGAACAAGTGTTTCTGCCCACTTGTCATCTCACTGTCCTACAAAGGGCTCTTAAAACATTACCAAAAATGGCTCCCCGTTCTCACCTCTAAATGGGAATTACCTACAACTCTGATGCCTAATTGCTTACTGATTATAGATGCCTCATGACGTAAAACACCTTTTCCTTCAACCTGCAATCTCATCTGTAAGGATCTTTGGAGTTGCCATGCAGTGGTGTGGTGGCCCACACCTTTCATCCCAGGAGGCAGAGGCAGGTGGATCTCTGAGCTTGAGGCCAACCTGGTTAGTAACTCCAAAGCCACACAGAGAAACTCTGTGAATACCCAAACCACCACCACAATACACAAAAGGAATCTTTGGAGTTTTCTCAAAAGTGTTATCTCAGAAAATTCAGATGTTTTAGTAGAGGTCTGCTATTGAGTTCATTAATAGTGGTTTTGCTCTTAGGGTCCCAATCGGTGTTAAAAACTGGGTATGGTGGCACAGGCTGTAACCTCAGCCAACCCTAGAGAAATGGAGTGGAAAAAGGAATACTAGGAGTCCAAAAATCACCTCAGCTGCATTAACAGTTTCAAATGTAGCCACACCCTGAGTTATGTGAGCTTTTCATCACACAAGAACCCAACAGCTCTTCTTATTAGTTTGTGAAGAAGGTACTTGGGAACAAGAAACCAGGAAATATGGTCAGGCTGCTTGGGAAAGAAAAGTGGCTCTGGAGACAAAAGATGACACACCCACGCTAGTGACTGAATCCAGAGCCCATGCATGTTAGCCAAGTACTCTACCAATTAAATCAGACCAAGAGCCTTCAAGATCTTCTCCCCTCTTCCATTTCAAATATACCAAGTCGGCCGGTCAGCAAGCTCCTGGAAGAGCCTGCCTTCCAACAGAGGTTACCAGGACAAGCAACTGGCCATGTTTGGCTTTTTAAGATGTAGTGGGGATTTGAACCCTGTTGCAGGAAAAATAAGAGACCCAAAGTCTGATATTGGGGTTCAAACTTCAAGCTTAGTAGTTCGTCACTAGCTCTCACCACTACTTCAGGATGAATGGGTTGATCCTGCTGCCTCTCCCCTGTGGCTGTAGAGTGAATGCCTGATACTGAGACCTTGCTCCTGTCTTACACACCTCCCTAATGTTGTGATTAAAGGTGTTATCCCAGGTGCTGAGATCATCTTTGTGTGAGCGGTTTCTCTTTAGGGTGGCCTTGAACTCACTCACAGAGATGTCTAGCTCTTATTCTTGAGTCCTAGTATTAAAGGTATGTGGTCTGACTTTGTTTTCTGAATCTGCAGGGAAGCTTTATTGAATCTTAGGTGTCACCATGGAGCCTAGGGCCTTACACACTCTCACTCATCTATACCCTCAGCCCTTAACCTTTAAGGTCTTTTACTTGTAATTATCTTAAAAAGATACTGAGGACAGTACGTTCAGAAAACACTGTAGTATAAACATTTATAAAAAGAACTTTTACAGGGAAAATTAGTTTGTGTTAACTATCATAAAGTTAAAAATATTTAATACTTAACTAAATTACCTAAGATAATCTTTTAAGAGTTATATGGCAGGAGATTGCTCAGTCTGTTTTGCACACAACATGAAGGTTATTACAGTTATTACATTATTACAAAAGTACAAAAACAGGCCCCCACACAAAAAGTTACTTTTTCTGTCATATATATCCACCAATTTGTGAAAAACTAAAACCAAAGTGAGTTAAAATGTCTATGCTTAATAAAAGCTACAATTTTAAGTGTACAGAATGGAAAATATCTTAACAAACTGACTTAATATCATGTAAACAAACCACAGGACATAATAGCACAGATGCTAAGCTTTAGCCTCATCATGCTCAATTCCTTAGAATAATAATAATTTAAAAAGTACATTACTTCAGCAGAGTTAAGGTGGCTATATGCCTTGACCACTGGTTATCAAAATATGATTAATACATTTCAATGTATCTCTGAAGTACCTGAGTTGAGATAAAGCTAGCACACCCGTCAGTTTCAGGACTATGACACTGAATCACTTCTCTAACTAGCTGTTCAAGTAGGAAACCTATTTAATCGGACTGAAAGCAGCTTTGTATGGTATATGTTATATATTCAGTAGTTGTAAAATGTAAACTTTTTTATTTAAGGTCATCATTTTTTTTCAATACATGCAAATATTAAAGCAATGTACTTTCTGTCACTGTGAGCTAATTTTCCTTTTACAATAAAATTCATACAACTCCTTTGCTCGGGGCTCTAAAATTTAACCTTATTCCATTCAGACCACTACACAAAAGTATAGTAATAATTAAAGCCACATATTATTTCCTAGTAAGGAAATTTCTACTAACTTGCTGAAAAATGAATGTATTTCCTTGCCATATAAGCACAACTTTAAGAATTTCTCAGAATGCCTTTAATATATATGCTGTAAATGCAAAATCTTAGAATGTCACCTTTCTTGCTGAATATTAACTTCAACATTATAAAATTATACCGATCAGTTATATAAAATATTAAAGACAGACCATTTTTTAAACCAAAATCTAGTCTTCTAAATTCTCTATTTAATTAATGAAATTAAATACACATCATACCCATTTTCTTGTAGTACTCTTCCCAGGCCTTTGTATAATCAACCTGTCCAGCTGGAGCTGGATTCTGCTGATCTCCTTGTTAAAAAAGAAAAAAACAGAGTTAAGTCCGAAGGTATCTTTCCCCTTTCTTCTGCAGCATGGAGCTCTCCTAGCATGCACTGCTGTGAGCACACCTGTCAGAGACACAGCAGGGGGCACAGAGAAACTGGTGGCATGGGCTGTTAAGTAACTGACATCAAAGAACTATAGGACAGGAGCTCTCTGGCTACTTTTGAAGCACTAAAAAATACAATTTGAAGGTATGTGTGGGCCTGTTTAAGAACTACCTCAAAAGCTTTTCTAGATTGTTTTGCCCACATGCTTATTTCTTATTTATGCATTGAAGGTATATGATGCTCTCAAAGGTCAGAAGAGGGCACTGGCTCCCCATGTGGGTGCTGGGAAACGAACTGACAGTCCCAAAACATACTTTCTAATAATAATACTCTTATTTTGAAAAGGGCTATGATCATTGACATTTAAATAACAAGTGTACTCTGGTTTCTAAATTCTACCCGTAAGAAAAGGTGAATGGACCATTGATTGGAGCTTATAAGACAAAGTAGCTCACTGTGTCAGGTACTAACTAAGGCAGCCCCTGAAGAATGTCAGGAGACCAGAGCCACTCTGAAGACAATCCCAACCCCAACCACCCAAATCCAGGACAACACAATGAAAGCAGGAAAACAAAAACTATTCCTTTCAGTAAGATAGAAACTAATATACAACGATAGCAACAGTGGTTTACTAAGGTAGGGCTTATTAAAGAGAATAAGGCTGAGGCAGACATAGTTCCATTAAAATGTACCAGAAAATACTAGGTAATTCCTTATAAGCGATGGTAGTAGCATAGTACAAAAGAATGGAGTTAGTAACTCCAAGGGACCTAAACTGACAGCTATCTAACAACCGAATTACACTCTATTAGAGATATAAAAGCACTGACTGCTAATTGACCCAGGTTCAGTTCCCATCACCCACATGGCAGCCTACAACTGTCCCGTTCCAGGAGATCCAATGCCCTCATAGACATTCAGGCAAAACAATGGACATATATTTTGTTTTTTAAAAAAGGGCAGGACTGAGAAACTGATCCATCTCAATGAGACTTACAGACCTAATAAATACTGTACGTTACTAGACAGACCTCGATGAAAACCCTGAGGACCTGGGGAAGCTAAGCAAGGACAGTGTAGCAGTAGTGTATCAATAGTGAAAACATGACTTTTAAACATCACTATGGTCATATATTTGGAATGAGAACACAAATAGGTATAGGGATAATAACTTCCTGTCTCCAAGGATAGTTCTTTTCATAATCAGCAACAGACACATTGAGAAAATGGAGGACAAAAACTTTTATTAAAGTTTGTTACTATTTCAAAGTGACTTAATATGTTTACCTACAGTCACAATTGAATCTTCAAAACACTAAGTCTAGGGATCTAACTTAGTGATAGAGTATTATCAGAGCATGCACAAGGCCCTGGGTTCAAGTCCCAGGACTGAAAGTAAAAGAAAAAAAATGCTGGTATGGCACACAACATGCTTCACATATAAATCAAAACACAAGCTTTGGTTTTAAAATAGTAAATAAAATTTTCAATTACCGTAGTTACCTTGTCCATTGGTCTGGGTTGTAGTTGGTGCCCCTGCAGGAGCTGCAGGTGGCGGCTGTGCCTGCTGTTGGTAATAGTGAGCATAGTAAGCAGCCCATGCTGCTGAGTTTGGATCTGTTCCTGCCTTAGCTAGAATTAAAAAGGAAATAAATAATTCATGGTTTATATGTAAATCTCCAAATCAATACCTTTCTAGGGATCCCTGACAGACTGGAAAATAACAAATGTAAATTTGTAAATATTTCTAGTATTATCATTGTTAACATTTGGCTTTTAGTTCAGAAACTTGAGCCTCAGGTAAGTAATTTCCCAGCTTACAATAGTGAATGATGGAAATGGGATATGAATAGATGGTCTTTGGCTTCAAATCCAATGGTTTGTTTCAGCTCAATCCTATATCTTTGCTACTTTCTCCTGTGACACTTTTTCTGTGTAGCCCTGGCTGTCCTCAAACTCAAAAGATCCACCTGCCTCTGTCTCCTGGGTGCTGGAACTAAAGGCATGTGCCACCACCACTTAGCTCAAGCTGTTTCTTAAACAAGCACAAGTTGTGGTTATTTGGTGACTGAGCCAAGTTCCTATGAACTTAACATATATTATTGGGCCACATGAAAATATTAAAGTATTTAACAAATCCTTCAAAGCAATTACATTTAACTTATTGCTCTGGTTTTTCGAAAATAAATATACCACGTATAAAGTAATCTACAACCCTGAACATGTTTTTGAAATCTCTCCACTGAATTCTAAACTAGAGGCATGGAAAGTGGGGGAAACAAAACCATTTTGGGAGGATGTAAATAAGAACACAATGATACAGAAAATCCAGATTAGAAGAAGAAGAAGAAGAAGAAGAAAAAAAAAGACGTATTTCAGAGCTTTGGTGTGTAGTAGGAACCTAATTTTTACTAATATTAATTAAGGTGCCTTCTCAGCAATAATATAATTTATAATCATCTTCTTTGAGAACTTAGCAGTGTTAAAGACACATTATTTTACAAATATGAACTATTATGGATAAACCCCCACACACTAGATAGCAATGTTATCTAAAGCTTAAAACAGAATACTTTTCATAGATTTTATTCTTTCTGTTTTAACCATTTAAAACTGGGCTATATTTGCACTCTAAGAGAACTGGAGGGCCACTGTGATCAAAAGCGCAGATGCAGAAAAGTCTGTCTTAATAAATGGTTGTTACTAGTCTTACATTGCAGTAGCAGGCAAACAATTTAGACAACATGTTAACACTAGGTTATCTTCTTCTACCTGGGTCAGGAGGAGCCTGCTGCTGCCAATGTGGATATGCATTTCCCCATCCCTGGGGAGCATATGGGGCTGGAGGACCACTGGAAGAAAAAGACAAATACCATTTACTAAAAGCCAGAATCTTAATAAAGTAAGTTCCATTATTTTATGTATAGGTTTTGCTTGTGCGTGTACTGCATGTATGTGCCACCCACGTGCATGCCTGGGTTGAAGTAGTCATAGACTCTGGAACCAGAGTTATGTAAGGATGGCTGTGAACCACGTGTGGTGCTGGGAAGTGAGTACAGTAACAGAATTAAGAGCTTTTAACTGCTGAGCTATCTCTCCCACTCCGAAAGCTAGGATGTTTAGGCAAAGCTCAGAGTCAACCAAATCCAGTACTTACTGGGGAGCTGGGCCAGGTGGTCCTGGATTGTAAGGAGCAGGGTTGTATGGTCCCATCGGAGTTCCAGGCCCTGGAGGCCCTGGAGGCCCATGAGGACCTGGAACCCCATGGGGCCCATGGGGTACAGGTGGACCTAACGGATTTACTGGACCCTGCAAAAAAGAACCAAACAATAATAAAAAAGACACACAACACACAAAATACACAGTGCAATGACTGAGCATTCCAAAGGCCAACTAAGCAAGTTTAAGTGTGCCTTCCTCTCCTTACGGCACAAAAAAGAAAAATGTCCAATTACGAAATGTAAAATTCACTAAAACAGAACTAGCAAATTCCCTTTAGCTTTTACTCCTTTTCAAACAATGCTGTTTCTCATTTTTTATGTTCTTTTTATAAGACTGCCTAGTTCTTTTACTTTCCCAATGTCAGGCAATCATATTTCCCAGATGGCACACTGTCTAGGGAACACTTAACATGTAATTCTCAATCTAAAGTCTCATGAACAACTGTCACAGGAATCCCATTTGAACCAGTAACTTAAATACACTGTCTTCATGTTGTGCCCATCATAACTTTCTAAGTAGCATCCAGCTAAGTAACATCAGTGTTATTTTATATAAACTTATCACAACACTTTTTTCCACTTTCTTCCCTTACTTGGAAATAGGGTCTAATTATGTAGCTTTTGCTGACCCTGAACTCACTATGCAGACCAGGCTGGACTGCTGGTGCCTTCCAAGGGCTGGGATTTAAAAAAAAAAAAAAAAAAAAAAGTGTTTTGGTGGCAAATCAGTTCCTTTACACATTGAGGCCATCCACCTCAGTAGCCGGACAAAATACCCTAACCATATTTGGTTATCTATTCTGTCACTACTAATACTTCCCATGGCCTCTCCATCATTTATGCTTGCTTAGTAAGCACTAAACCAAACTATTAACTATCTCAAAAACAAAATAAGGAAAATGAAAAAGCAAAATGTGCTCATTCTCATCTTTCTAGTTTGGTGTCAACTCTTGGTAGTGCTTAACTTTCCAACACCTTCAGTTTATGAGCAGTTACCCCTGTGTGTATTACCAAACTCCACCTGTACTGTCCTCCCCGCCAGGCGTACCGCTACCCGGTGTCACCAAGTCCAATCTGCATCCACAGGATTACTATTAACTTAAAAACCCCATGCACTTTCCCCCATTGCTATAAAAAAAGGCTTTAATACTATTTGCCTTGTTAGAAAGCCATCAAGGTCAAGGTATACCACTAGAAAAAACTACACAGAATTGACGATGTACCAAAATCACTTGAAACATCTTTGTTTTTTTTTTTGTTTTATTGGAGACAGGGTTTCTCCGTGTAGCCCAGGCTGTCATTAACTTGAGTGATCCACCTGCCTCTGCCTTCGCAGTTCTGGGATTAAAGGTAGACTATCTTTGTTAAAATAGATACTGGGCTCTATTCTACTTTCACTGTATTTCTGTGTAAGGTGCATGTATACTTAGCATGTTGTCTCCCTTGTCAAGTTAGTGTGGGTGAGGTACACATGTGCTTAAGCAATAAAGCAATGTCCTTCAGTGATTGGCCTCTACCTTTATGATCTAAGTAAACAGGAAGCTCCTTAACTTTGGTGGGCTAGATGGCCAAGGAAGAACGAACCACCAAACTAGCTTACACTTCAAACCTGTAATGATTGGCACTCAGTCCAAAAGGTGGCAATTATAAACTACTTCAGTAGAATGGGAGATAACAATTTTGGCCACTATTTTTACTGAGCAGGGGTGGGTAGCTTGGTTCTTGATAAACACTGAATTCTTGTAACTCGTTAGGTCACATCTAATACTATCTCTGATCTATGGACACTCAAGTGTGAGGTGGCCCCCCGCAGACTTGTAATTTATGCTCCATCAGGTTACTTGCATACTGAATTCTTGTATCTTGTTAGGTCACATCTAATACTATCCCTGATCTATGGACACTCAAGTGTGAGGTGGCCCCTCACAGACTTGTAATTTATGCTCCATCAGGTTACTTGCATTGCTGGGCCTCTTTCCAATGTTGTTACATGTACTATACCACAAAAACCTGTACATTAAGATCAGAAAGTACACATTTTCCCATGGTACAGTCAATTAATACTTTTTGAAAGTACCAGGAGCTATGTTATAAATGAGTTTACTCACCCCAATCTTCTCTTCTATGAGTTGCCGAGCATAGTCTATTTGCTGTGGAGTGCCACGGATTATAAATAACTTCATATTAGGGTCTGCGTTAGGTGGGGGGTTTCTCTGAAGCTCTATTCTCGCGCCAGATTGCTGGCTTATGCTTTTTATAGTTTCACCTCCTTTAAAAAAAAAAAATTCAAATCAAGACACTAAGTTCTCTACAGTTCAAAGAACGGAAGAAGTGCTACATTAAAAAAAAAAAGCACCTATTTAATTTGGCCATTAAATAAAGTTTGATATTATTCTAGTGGACAATAATTCATTAGGATTCTCTGCTGTTTATCCATCTGTAACTCATACCATGTATGTATATACCCTAATGTGAGCCAGAAAAAAATAACAAAAATTAACCCAAATATCAAAATAAATAAGTAAAATAAAACCCCCAGCCCATTTTAATTAGGACCAAGTTTTATTTCTTTTAACTGCTAATTAACTGTTGGTCCTCATTCCCTAGAAGCCAATGAGACATAAATCCTTATTTTTAACACAAAGATAATGAAGATAGCTTTCTTACTAAACTACTTCCAAATAAAGATAAATTGATACTATTTGTTTATGCCAAGGAGTATCCAGAAACATCAGCTATGTTAACAAAGAATTAAAACACACTGCCTTTTCCAATTATCAGTCCAGTTTTCCCAGTCGGCACGATGAAGTTAAGCTCCTGCAGTCCACCAGGTGGCCCCATATGCCAGCTGCCTTGACCTCTACCCCGTCCCCGACCACCAGGTCCAGGTCCACCAGGATTGCCAGCCTAAGGAAGGAAAAGCAAACCACCAAAATGAACAAAAACTGACAAAAGTTTATCTCCCAACTTGCACATTTCTCACAAATGAAATTGAGATGATTTAAAAATTACTTGATAAAATTATTCAATTAAGCACTTAACTTATTTTTGGACAGGGTCTCTGTGTGCACCCTTAGCTATCTTCTCACAGAATTGTGTGTGGCATGTGTTTAATTAAGAAGCCCCTTGTGTCTGTCATATTCTGCCCTAAGAGTTTAAGTTAAAGCAATGTAAGTATTTACCATTTTAAGAAAAGCAACAGATTCTTGTATAATGTGGAGGGGCACTTTTCAATTATGATAAAAAACCTCCAATGAAATTAACTGATAATGTTAACTTCCCACCAAACCTGAACACTGCGTAGGAGGTCTGTGATAATCTCGGCAGCATGCTGACATCGGTCTGGAGGTCCTGTTATCTGTGCTATCCTATCTGGTGTTGTTCCATCATCTACAAGAAAACAATGGAACAATCAATTGTGACAATCCAATTAGGAGTGTCAACATTACCAGCTATCAATTCTTAGAACATTAAATATACCTTACTAACCTGGCTTAAACTGTATTCGAACTCCAGCGTCGTTTTGTATTTTTTTAATCATTTCTCCATTTCTTCCTATTACAATGCCAACAGCAAATCTTGGAATTGGGACCTTAGTTAGGCAAATAAGAGATGAATTAAAAAAAAAAGACATTTCTCAAAATTCATCTCCATCAAATCATAGAAGTAAATATAGTAAATGATGTCAAATAGTAACAAGATAAAAATATATCAAGGAAGAAATTGTGGAAGGGGACATACAATGTCAGAGAAGGCCACTCAACTCAGAACAACCCTACTGCACTATGGATCAGGACACAACCATTCCTGAGTCAGGGTTTACTTACATCTATCCCTTCATTCCCTCCTATTCTTGAGCCATACTCATTCCGAACTTCTCTGAAACCACCTTGATCACGAATTAGCTCTAATACCATTTCCTTGGCTTGCTAAAATAGAAAAGTTATCCAATTCAGAAAAACTCTCAGAACATTTTAATGCTTATTTTGTCCACCCCACAATAGTTTTATATAAATGACAAAGTGAGGTTTACCTGTACTTTGTATGGGTCACCAGTAATCCTAAGAGGTTTATCAGCACCAGTATTTTGAGGTCCATCTTGAATCATAACCATTTTAACACCGGCCCGTTCCTATTAAAACCGTGCAAATAATACAAGTTAACAAAAAATATAAAGTGGCTTTAAACGATTTAGTAATAGTTTTTTACAATATAACAGTACCTGAAGTTGTTTAATGGTCTCTCCCCCCTTTCCAATGACGAGTCCTGCCTTGCTGGCCGGAATCATGATTTCCTGAACTGCATTTCCAGGTCCATCACCATGATGAAAGCCAGGAGCTGGTCTTCCCTTTTCAACAATCTGGTCCAGTAATCTTTTTGCTGACCTGTTTAAGAAAAAAAATTAATAAAAAAATTGTAGTGTAACCAAACTTACCCCAAAATGCAATGTAACAACAGTCAAGCAGCTTGACCCTATTCATGTATGTATCATCCAGCAGTTGAATTGGGATGCATTTGCATGTTGAGGCAGGAAGCAAAGCAAAGCCACAAGAAATGTAAAATGGGGCAGTAAGGAAGTGAGCCTAAACCAAATAAATATAGTAATGTAGGCACAAGGAAGAGGCCCTCAAGCAGGAGTAGTGGTCTCAGGCAAATGAATACAAATGAAAAGCACTGTCTGAATACCGGCAAAAAGAGCACAGAGGAGGGCTGCTCCACTCCAGTGTGTGATGAGGCAAACACTTTCTGTTCTAAGCTGCTTTACTTGGTCAACAGAAGTAACTAAGACAGAGAAGATGTGCCGGGCACTGGTGGCACACACAGTTAGAAGGCAGTTGGGGAGATAGATCCCTGTGTGTTCAATATCAGCCTACAGAGGGAGTTGCAGGACAGCCAGAGCTACACGGGAAAAACTACCTCAAAAAACAAACAAAGAAAAACCCCCAAACAAAGACAATGAGCATTAAAGAAGACTGGGCAGAGAGTTTCAGGTGACATCATCCAACTTCTCTGTATATAAGCCAATTCAGGGTTAGTAATTTTCTTATGTTTGTACACACAACATGTAGGCAAAATTATAATGCGTCTTTGATATGCACCTTTTGAAACAGGGTCTTCTCAATGGTTTTGATCCCATCAGGTGATTATAGGCTGGCTGGTTACTAAGTCCCCAAAAACTGCATATTTCCAACCCTTGAAGAATGAGATTACAAACTCCAGCCTTTTGGTTTAGCTCTTAGGCTCAAACTCAGTTCTTCCTACTTGGAGGGCAAGCACCTGGATGTCTGTTATCAACTCAGCCCCATCCCTACTTTATAACAAATTTCTGTGTCTTAGGTTTAGATGATCAACCCTACTCAAGACAGGCATGACGTAAACTTTCAAGTAAAACTTTCGAGGCCTCCAAGACAAGGCAATGGTGGAGAAATAACCAAAATACAAAGAGTAGTCTTCACATTGTTACTCTAAGCACATGTAACATTTTCAACTTACTGGACAGATTCAGGTGTCCCAGTTAGCATACAAGACCTTTCTGGAAGGCCACCACTATCTACAATTAAATAAAAAGAAAAGTGTTGGTCATGAATAGATTAAAAGTAGCAGCATCATCTTTAGAAACTTTAAAAAAAAAAAAAAAAAAAAAAAAAACTACTGAAGTTTGTTAGCCACTCTCAAAAAACTTCAAGGAAAGACAAAGAATGTTACCAGGAGCTATTTGTATTTTGCATCCAGACTCCTGCTGTATGCGTGAGATCTGTTCACCTCCTCTTCCAATTACTAGTTAAGGGGGAGAAAGAGGAAGTTATTATCGACTCTAAAATATGCTTTGTTTTAAAACCTTAAAAAAATTACATTACTTACTAAATCCAACCATTCCATCTGGGACTTTGTATTCTTCTGTCATTACAGATCTGCTAAGAAATGACAGAAACTAGTGTTTTCTTCTAAGAGAGTGTGCTTGTACATAAAGGTAATCTAATAAATAAACCCAATCTTAGTGTCTCCTACAGAAGTGAGTGCCCATGAAGAGCTCAGTGACTGCCACTTCATTCCCTTTACCTGCTTTCTTCTAAAAGGCATCATTCCAACCATTTCCCCAGTCACCAATATTTTACTTAAAAAGAAAGTCATGATTCCATATTTTCCCAAAGGACAGAAATAAACCACCATACAAAATTGTTATGTAGATACTTTCAAATAGAAACTAACTTGGCTGGCTGTACACACAATCAAATAAGACTTGCAAAGTAAAGCTCTGACTATACCTTTGCTGCTGATGCATCGGAGGTAACTGTGCTCCAAAAGCTAAAAAAAAAAAAAAAAAAAAAAAAAAAAAATCAAAGTTCAAGTTTACTTAATGTAAGTATTCTAAATTCTTTCCCCGGAGGAAAGAAAAAATTTCAGACTAGCCAAATCATCACTGATGGTGACAAGAAAGCCAAGGAAGGGGTAAATATACTAGTAATGGCAGACAAAACACTTTTCTTTCAAATGGCACATGGATATGAGTTGGAGAAGTTAAATTATATACATAATTCATCAATCAATGTTATATATGCATGGCCATAATCAAAAGGCAATCATTTTAAAAAGGTATATATCTAGAAGCAAATCTAATGACATTTTTAATTCCTACTCCACTGGGTGTGGCAAGGCGCACCTTTAATCCTAGCACTGGGGAGACAGAAGCAAGTCAATTTCTATTAAGGTCAAAGCCAGTTAGGGTCTCATAATGAGCCTGGCCCAAAAACAAAATTTCTAACACCAAAACCCCACAACATGATGCTCTTGCTGTTCCCAGCAACCACACGGTGGCTTGTAACTAAATAGCTCAACTCTCAGGAAATTCCCATGCTATCTTCTGATCTCTGGACACCCACACACAAGTGGTACACACTCATATAGATGTGCATGCGTATGTATGCACACATATTTATTTTGTTTTGTTTGTTTTTTCAAATAGGGTTTGTGTTGCTTTGGAGCCTGTCCTGGAACTAACTCTGTAGAGCAAACTAGACTGGAACTCAGAAATTCACCTGCCTCTGCCTCCCAAGTGCTTGGATTAAAGGCGTGCACCACCAACACCAGGCAATTCTTATGTATAACTATTTTTAAAAGTACCAATAAAACCTCAGCTTAAAATACTTACAGTCATTTTGGGGAGCAACTTTCTTAGCTTCTGGTTGATCTGAAAAATTAAATGTCTTTTATTTTTTGTCAATTATAAACAAAGCACCACCCCAAGCAATAATGCCAATGTTTATTAAATTATCTGATATAATGGTTTTCCACTTGAACCACATTTCAACATTTCAAATTTGCCGTAATTCAATCTAGACCCAAAATTCTTTAAAACAAACAAAAAAGCCAAAAGACCCACAAACCCTAAATTCATTCATTCTTTTCTTGTTTAAGCAATACAGACATTGAAAACAGCTTAGAATGGTAAGACAGGAGTATGCAGCTTAAACGCTGGCGATTACCATGTTAAAAGCTAATGATGCTTCTACTGTTCAGAACCGACAATTGAGGATAAGTATATAAAAATCTGACATATCAAAAGATGAGTGTATCGGAAAGTGATCACAAAGCTTTACCAAAAAGGAAAGCTCATATTACAAGATAGTTTCAATCTAGACTGTTGCATTTTCCCCAAACGAAACATTTCACTATGAGTTTAGTAAAAAAACAAAAACCTCAAAGCAACTACACGAGTGCCTTTCTCAAATAAACAAAACACACACAACATTAGAATAGACAGCCTACAGGTCAAAGCACTGTTATTACTCTCCCCAATTCAAGGCTTTTGTGTTGCAAAAATTCAGACACATAAACCAAGAGATAGTTGTGTCCACTTAAGAGTCCACTGGTTTGTTTGTTTCACGTTTACATACTAAACACAGGTAATAAATAAAAATTCCTGCCTTTAAAAGGAGAGGGCATTCCCTCCCAGTGTGTTGTACTGCTCGGATTTGTCCAAGAGCCATCTACACATAAAATAAAAAGAATACATTACACACAACATCTGAAGCATCATTAGCTCATTTTTTCTTGCATATTAAAAACCTCACTTGCAAACATAAATGTAATTAAAAGGAAACCAAGTATTTCCATTAACTGTTACAAATACATTTCTATATGCTCAATCAGAATCCTTTATAAACAGGGCAAAATAGAGCATCAAAATTTACACGTTCATCAAAACTAAAATAAAAAGCACACTTCTAAGGGCACAAGTGTCAATACTTTTAAAAAATAAAAACCACTTTAAATCCACTGTTTTACACCATGTTTACAGTTAAATCTGAAGCACAAGCCAAAGCACAAAAAAAAAAAAAACCAAAAAAAAAAAAAAACCACAAAAGCATTAGCCTTTAAAGTGAATTTTCAAGTAAATGAAACAGCGTATCAAAGACTCATCCATAATTGAGAAAACCCAGGAAATTGTTTCCTGAACAATTTATATTTTTGTTTGTTTTTAGCATTAACAAGAAATCTGTGCAAACTATAAGCATAATCCTAAAACAGCTAAAACATTAAACTGTTTTCTATTCCAAAACTTTTAGCTAGACTCAAATTATACCTACCTTTTTGTAGGTCTATCTTTTCCCCTTCTAAGACCATTATATAGTAGTATTCTGACAAATTATTTCAATACATAAGACTGAAATATTTCATCAATTGAATACCATGTGAGATAACTATAGTTGTTTCTGGCTGTAACTTACCTCCATCTTCTAAGGGTCTCTTTTGTCCCCCATAACCATAGTCATTTGAATTCAATGATGTACCAGCATCACCCCCAATTTTTGCTGCAATCTTAAAAAAAAAAAAAAAAAAGGTTACCAACACACATTTATATACTACTCAACTCTAAATTTCCTACAACACACTTTCTTTTAATACATTAACGATTTACTTGTTAGTATTAATTCAAGCTACAACTCAATTAAAACTACCATCAGAGCTGGATGGTGGTGTCCTGCATCCCTTTAATCCCAGCACTTGGGAGGCAGAGGCAGGCGAATTCCTGTGATTTGGAGGCCATCCTGGTCTATATATAGAGTGCCAGGACAGACTCCAAAGCTACACAGAGAAACCCTGTGTTGAACTCCCACCCAAACAAAACAAAGAACTACCATCAGTGTGCTTTAGGAAGCTTACATTAATGGTCTGGGATTAAGCTCATACACATCTTATTAAAAAAAAAAAAAAAAAACCAACAAGAACAACAAAGTAATCGACAGGGCATCTATAGGAGAGAAACAAGCAAACTCTGAGGAAAAACTGAATCCTAATATTGTCTTCTCCTTGTCAAATTCCCTCCTTCAAAGGGTACATATAGGCAGCATGGCAATTCTGAGATGCTAACACTATGCTGCTCAATTTACATGTGGTTACTTGAAATGTGGCTATTCCAAATTTACAACTTTTGTAAAACAGGCACTGGATACAAGAAATGCATAGTAAGCAGAAAGAATGTAAAGCTTTTCAAAGCAACTATATTCAATACATACCAAGATATAACTGGGTAGGCAGGTAAATCACATAGCTTATATATTACTACTGCAGGAAGTGGGCAGTGCTGTGCAATCCAACACTGCAGAGGCAGGCTGATCTCTGTGAGTGAGGCCATCCAGGAGTACAAGGTAGGAAAAAGGAAAACAAAGGGGAAAAACTGATGTAGAACTAACCTAACTATGTTTACTATAAACAGGAAATTGGGGGAGAGTAAGTAGTATATTCAAGGACTTGGGCCTCACATCAAATATGGATCTGTAAGTCAGTATGTATTATATTCCACATGTTAACTATACACCTCCCAGGGTTATTAGGTTTTCCTTTTCATCTACAAGAACTTTCACATCCCCCACACACAGCCTATGAAAAGGAAAACAATTTAAGTCTACAGTGGTGATCCAACTTTACTAATCATCTGTCACTTCCCCATTAAAAGCCTATTTCTTCTGTGGGGATCTAATCTTTCCTGAAAGTTTTCCTAATAATACCTGGAGACATCTTTTACACCCTTTGATCTAAAAAAAAAAAAAACAAAAACAAACAAACAAACAAAAAACAGCATTTATAAACAGTACTTTAGGGATTTAAGTGCACTGTCTGGGACCGACAGTGGTGTTAACAAGGAAGTAGTTAACTGTCAGAGAAGATGGCATACGGAACTAGAGGGCAATAGACTGTGCCTATTCTCTACAGTTAGACAATGGAACCCCAGCAAGCAGACAACTCTCCAAAACCAACCTTAGAAATTCATTTTCTTTGGTAACCACAAAGATGAAAAAGTCCCTGAAGACCAATTCCCAATACAATATGCCTCTGGGATTAAGGTGTGAGCCACCACTCCGGCTTTTACTTTCTTACTTCAAACAAAGCCAGCATGTAGCACCTTTCTACAGGAACCATCCTTACATTTGAGTTGGAAGATATTTCCTGAATTTCAGCCCACACTTCCCTTAGTGTAAAGGGAGGTGCAGATCTGCTTTAGTGCTTCACGGTTGTCTTTCTCCAGTTTGATCAAGCATTCTGAGCTGATCTGGACAGCTGTGAAGATTATCTGAGATAACTCAGGATGTTTAACATTCAGTGCACTCTCACCAATGCTAACAGCAACACTTCAAAATTGTGTTTGGAGTCAAGCATGGTGGTGCACACCTTTAATCCCAGCACTGAGGAGGCAGAGAGGCAGGCGCATCTCTGTGAATTCAAGGGTCAACCTGGTTACAGAGCTAGTTCCAGGACAGCCAAGGCTACCCAGAGAAACCCTTGTCCCACAAGTAAAAATGTGTTTAGGAAAATTAGCAATGTTTTTATCCATCCCCAAAGACACAAAAAACGTGCCCTTGCCAGTCATGGTAGTGCAGGCCTGGAATTCTAGTGCTCAGGAAGCTGAGACAAGACTCTTTCTTTAAATCCAGGAGAACAAGATAGCAAGGATACCCCTGTATCTGTAGGAGTCAACAACAACAACAACAAAAAATTATTTTCAAAACAAAATCTTAGCTAGGCATGGGTGGCCAAAGGCAGAGAGGTAGGTCTGGTCTACACAATGAGTTCCAGGGCAGACAGAGCTACATGATGAGACCTTAATCTCCTTACTATTACAATATATTAAGTAAGGAAACCTGCTGATTCCATTGAATATACCATGTACTGCTTCATATGGGGCAAGGTCCTGGAGGAGTTACTGCATACCCACAAAATCCAGGTGGGATAGACACTATAATAAACACTTATCACAATCAATGCTTGCTAGTAATCAAAGCTTATTCATTTTGAATCTAGCTGTAAATTCCATGTTCCCGCTGATTTAACTCTGTTCAGGCTGTGCTGCTATTCTATGCCAGCCAATCACCCCCCCAGTTCACGGCAGGAAATGGCACCCATCAGGCAGTGAGAGACACCCTTTCCCAGGGTCCAGTACAGTGCCTGCCTCATAGTGCAAATGCTACCAACTGTCAGTCTATTTTCTTATTAACAAAGCATTAGCTCATTGGCATCTGATTCCTGGACTAATTATCTCACACTTTAGAAACCAAGAATATGAATCACAGTGTTCCAAAGCTGAGTGGGGGGAGCCTACCTGTACGCACCAGAGAGGCTTAGGAAGGGTGCCTTAAATCCCCGGCCAGCTTGTGCTATGAAGACCCTGCCTCAAAAAAACATCTTCCTTCTAAGTCTGTCCGTTCTCGTTTGAGTCAAAGGACCTACCTGGTAGGAGAATAAACTCCCAAGTTATCCTGATTTCTACACACACACACACACACACACACACACACCGTGACACTCATTGAGCCCTCTCCACGGATAAATAAAGCCGCCATACCCCCGCCCCATTATCTATGCACTCTAGATGGTCAAACGGGCTAGCTGTATAAAGCAGACTAGCAAAATCTTGCCACACGTGGTGTGCAAGCACGGCCCCGTAGATGTGATGAACTTTGATTGACTCCGTTACCCTCCTGCCCCGGGGGCGGGGGCCGAACTGTCGGAAACGGAGCCTCCAGTCAGAACCGAGCGAGTGTGACCACCCGCCCCGGCCGCCGCTGCCGCAGGCCCGGTAACATCAACTTTCTCCGAGACAGTGCGGCCCAGGCCGAGCCGGGGAGGCGCGGGGGCTCGGGAGAAAGGGAGCGGGCGTGCGCGCCCGGCCGGCCCACAGTAACAAAGAGGCTGCGGGCCTCGCGGGCCGGGGCGGCGGGGCCGGGGCCGGGGCGGCGGGGCCGGGGCGGCGGGACGGGGCCGGGCGCTCCCTCGCTCCCTCCCTCCCGGCCGGCCGGCCCTGCCCGGGCCCGGCGTCGCCCGCGCTCCCGGCGCCTTCCCCGCCGCCGCCCGCGAGGCCCCGGGCCCGGCGTGCTCCGTGGCGGCCCGGGCGGACAGCAGGGGCCGGGGCTCCCGGGAGGCCGCCGCGCCGCGCCGCGCGCTCACCTGCCGCGCTCTCTGCAGGGCATCTTTGAAAGCGTCGTTCACGCCGCCGCCGCCGCCGGCCGAGCCCGAGGAGGGCGGAGGCACTGTGGAGTAGTCGGCCATGCCCGCGCTGCCGCCGCGCTGCCGCCGCCGCCGCGTCCTCGCCGAGGCCCCGTGTGCGCTAACCGCTAAGAAAGGGAGAAAATGGCGGCCGGCGAGGCCGTATCACATTCTTGTGCGACCATCGTGCCGTAAAGGGGCGGAGACTCCGAGGCCGAAACCTCGCGATGCTTTCCTCAGATAACGCGCCGCCGGGGGCGGGGCGCGGGGCGGGGCGAGCGGGAGCCGGGTCGGAGCGAGCGAGCTCCAGAGACCGGACGGCCGGGAGAGACGACCGTCGCGAGACTTGAGCAGGATCCCGCGAGAGTGGCGGGGCTCACTCACGCTTGGCGCCTCCTCTGGGCGCCTCGGGGGGGAGGAGTTATTTTATTGTTCCCTCGCGGGGGCGGGGCCGGCGGGACGGTGGCCGCGGTGGGCCAGCCCGCTTCCGTAGGCGGCGGCTTGACGCCGCCGGGCGTGGACGTCACGCAACAGTGTCCCGCGAGCCTGCGCGCCAGCCCGGCCGCGCGGCTGTCGGCGGTAGCGAGTGCGGCCCGGCGGGAGCCCGGCATCCCGCCGCCGCCCGCCACTCCCAGACTGTCGGGCCACACGCGGGCATGAGCTCCGCCCGCCGGGCCTCCGTGTGAAGTAGTGCGGGCGAGCGAGCCGACGGTGGGAACATGAGCGCCCTGTGCCCCTTAGAAACGTGAGTGTGGGCGGGGGTCGTGCGTGCCCGGCCCGGCCCGGCCCCGAACCCGCAGCCGCACCCGCAGCCGCCGGGCCACACGGTTTGGGGACGCAGCTTTGCAGACTTGGCTGCTGCGCCTTTAGCTGCAGGCTCCCCCACACCCTGGCAGAGCGTGCCCGAGTGCTCTGCCCGAAGCAAGCAATGGCTCACCGGGGGTGGGGAGGGGAGGGTGGGGGTTCCTAAGCCCCGCCCACGCAGGCGCGCCCCGCCCACGCCGCCCCGCCCACCGCGCCCGCCACGCCCACCGCCGCGCCCCGAGCCTGAGAAGCACGCGCCGCCGCCTCCCGACCCCCGGAAGCTAACGGGCCCGCTCGCTCCACACCCACCGCAGTCCACTGAACAAGCCATGGGCTTGCACACAGCACCCGGACCGGCCGACCGGTAGCCGGCTCTGTCTTCTCAGACATTGTATAGCCCAACCCCATCCTCTCTCCCGTGTTCGTAGTCGCCGCGGAATGTTCGTGGATTTGGAAAGACAGTAGAGGGATTGGGCCACAGATTTGATCATCCCCCCCCCGGGTGTGAAAAAGTCGAAGCAGTTGGCTGAAGAGAAAATTTCAGCCGTATTTTAAAGAAAGCTTGACCAGCACATGGCATTTATTCATCGGTAATTATCCTTTATTTCGTTTAATTAGATTTGTACCAACCAGATGTTCTGAGCAGAGTAGTTCAGAGCATTACTGACTGCCCTCGAACTTAATCGATATTCTAAATATTGAAAGACCTTCGTTACTGATTTTTAAGAACATCATGTGCACTGGAAATGTGGGTGTTCTAGAATGAAACACGTTGGAACCAGTGTAGACTGAGATCTCTTAATCCTAGTGCTGTTGAGATTTTGAACGGGATTGATTCCTTCCTGTATGTATACTTTGGATGCTACAATAAACACCATTGCCCGCCTGTATTTGCCCTTACTGTCAACCACATCCCTCCCATGCACTGCAAACTGTGACAGCTGAAAATATCTTCAGACATTGAGCTTAACACCTGGAAAGGCAAAATTGCAGCCCCCTGGGAGCCATTGGTTTCTTTGATTCCTGTCCCTGCCTTTTTTCTGTGGCCACCAGGAAGACCTTATTGACCGTATTGCCAGTGCATGTTCTAAGGTCCCTTACTTTTACCAATGCTGCTTCCAGCCCTGGCCCAAGTCACCATCACTGTACCCCGACCGCAAGCTGACACGCGAGTTTTGCCCCTTCCTGCTTATTTTTGTGACTCACTTTTTTTAAAAAAAGTAAGGAATTTGTTAAGATCACTGGCTGCTCTTCCAGAGGGCCATATGGCAGCTCTCTCTCTCTCTCTCTCTCTCTCTCTCTCTCTCTCTCTCACACACACACACACACACACACACACACACACACACAAAATAACCCCCGCCCCCAGGAACCAATGTCCTCTTGTAACATCAGTGAGACAGGCACACACGGTCTCATATAGACAAAACACTTGATAAAAATAAATATATATATATAAATTTTATATTTATATATAAATATAAAATAAATATAAATGTAAAAATAATCTCCGAAAATTAGGAAAGGATTCAAAAGAAACGTTCCCAGTGTAGAGGAATATCATCAGAGAACAAAACTCTGCCTGCCTCCTTGAAGCTGGGTACCTATTCTTCCTGACTGCATTACAACCCATCCATCATTCCTTGCACCGATATATTTCCAATTACACTGTGAATCCTTTCCCCTAGAAAGTTTCTCTCCATCTCTTCCTCTCCTCCCTCCAGCTCTTTGTCTACTCCACTATCCAGGATTTTCTGGTCTCACTCTTTTTGCCTTTTCAAAACTGCTGGATGCTCTGTAGCCTTGAACATGCATGCTGTGACCGTCTCATTCAGGCCTCACCACAGATGCCCCCTTGGACCACTCTGATGGCTCCTCCCATGCCATTCTGCAGCCACTGACTTATTGCCATGATTTATAGCATGGATCTGTGTTCTTTACTTTCTTGTTTCCCTTAAATTAGAATGTAAACTGGAGAGCAATGACTGCGTCTCCAACATTATCAATTCCTAGCACTATGTGTACAGTGTAGCTATTAGTTGAGTAAATAAATGTTGAAAAACCAAAACAATATTTTAGTTCATTTTTTGATCTTGGGCTGTAATGTATGTGTCTTAGATTTTTCATCTACATATTGATCAAAACCTGCCTTGCCATCCTCGGAAGAGGCATTTCTGAACTCTTCAGGAATCATAAAGTACTGTACAAATATGCTAGCTCGGGCTGGAGAGATGGCTCATCCGTTAAAGGCTAGGCTCACAACCAAAAATATAAAATATGCTAGCTCATCTGGTATTGTCAAGATCAGGAAGGAATTCCAGGGATCAGTGAACACTTTAAATAGCTGTGTTCAAACTGTTGTGGTGAAAGTCAGCATCCATAATGCTCTTGCTGCATTAGTCTGAAGAGGAATTCAGATCCCCAGAACGACATAAGAAGTTAGGTGTGGCTACTTCACAGGCCCCCAATTGCATACATGGGGGGTGGCAGAGACAGGCTCACAAGCCTAGCCCTAGATGCTTGTCTGAAGAGGTAGAGCACAATACCAGACATCTTGTGACCTCTGCACGTGTACATTTATACATATGTGCATGTTTGCAAAAGTTTAAAGGAAGAAAAGTTGGCATAAATACAACTTTGGAACAGTGTCTGAAACTGTAGCTGTTTGCCATTTGAGATATGGTCTTACTATGTTAGGTAGCTGTCAGGATTTCGATATGTAGACCAGGCTAGCCGGAACTCAAGGGAGTTCATCCTGTGAACGCTGCTACTTTAATTACCTGTCCCTTTAGTTCTGATCCACTTCTGAGATTAAGCTGCCTAATTCATGAATCACTATCTGCCTAAATAAATTGAAGTTTTAAAGTGCCAACGAGCTTTTCTTCTAATCATGTTGTAGATCAAAAGGAGGGCCTCTATGCAAGCAGATACTATTATCACTGATAAGGTGCCAAAGTTTATAGTCTATCAGAACTTTTACCAGCTTTGTAATTTAAGGTACTGTATTAGGTTTTTTCTTTATTGCAGAAATATTTTAATGCAATCATAGTACAATTATAAAGTCCCATTCCTAATACATTGAGTATGTATGTTCAAAATATTAATAAAATATATTCCTTTGTGACATTTTCATGTGTATTTTGATCATATTGCTTGGTGTTGTAGATATTCAACATCTCGTATTTGAATATTTGGTTCTTAAAGATGAGTTCTAGCTATACTTGTTAAGGAGGCAGCATGTATACTATGACTTTTTATCTGAACTTAATAAAACATTTTCTTTTTAAAATGCCATAATGTTTCTAGAAGTTAGGCCATATAAGAGAAGATATTGAAATGCTTATAAAACTTTAATTTTTAAAAAGGCCTACTGTCCCAAAGGTTCATGCCTTAATGTTTAGGTAACTACGAATTCATATATTCAACGTGTAGAACTGAAATCACCTTGCTTTTGTAGTCAGGACCTCTATTTTTTACTTCATGACATTCCCTCCGGAAACGGAAGATCTTAGCCAGAGAAACCCTTAAGTAGAGATGGGTGGGTATGAGATTTAAGACTCACTTTGGATAGTGTTTGTTTGTTTGCTTTTTTGTTTTGTTTTGTTTTTTGGGAGGGGTGAGTTGGGTTTTTTTTTTTTTTTTTTTCAAGACAGGGTTTTTCTGTGTAGCTTTGGAGCCTGTCGCTCTGTAGACCAGGGTGACCTCGAACTCAAAGAGATCCGCCTGCCTCCTGAGTGCTGAGATTAAAGGTGTGCGCCACCACCGCCCGGCCTAACAGTTTGTTTTTAGTAGGATTTTATTTCTCTGATGACATTCCCATTTCTGTTTCTAGCTATGATCATTCTGGATTTTGCCTTCTGATTCCCTTATATCGTTTTATGTTAATAGATGATCTCATTTCATTTTGAAAATGTATTTAAAGAGACATGTATTTGAGAGGAAAATGGAATTAAAACTTTTTACCAAAGCATCTGAAGTTACTGTTTTCCTGTGATTTATAAATTACACCATTTTGTCTAGTTGTAGCAACTAGGGATATAAATACTTTCCTTCAGAATAAGGTGGTAGTCTTTATTTTTATTTTTTCTTTTTAAGACAGGAGCTTGTATAGTCCAGGCTGACCTTGAAGTTGGGATTGTAGGATTGACATCTAGTAGGTACTCAGTAATCCTTAATTTATTCAATCCCGCAAAAGAGCTGGGCATTGTGCTAGAGTCAGGGCATGCAGATAAACAGTAAAATGCCACCTTCAGGAAGACATTCTTAGTCCGGAATGTCAGTGAAATCTCCAGTGACTCTGTCGATTCTCCGGTTCCTTTTGTACAGTTATTTCCACCAGTCCGAGTAGTAGGAGTCTGTAGTTCAGTAGACAGTGGATTGAAAGATTGGAGCA